CCCTCCTGCCAGGCCACGAGTTCCCAATTAACTGTGGGTCGCAGCACGGCTGGAAAAAATCCTTCCGCTTCCAAGCAGGACTTGAACCTGGTACCCTCTGTTTCTCAATCATGGTCTTAGACCATCCCACTATGCCTGCCTGGCATGGGGGTGCGACTTATAATCCGGGAAATACGATGCTCCAGGTGCCTGTGCATTGTGTGAACTTCTCATGAATTCGTACATGTTGGTGTTTGTATGATGGTTAGGCTGTTTGACTCTCAGAATAACAACAGAGGTGGCTACAATGTTGGAGGTACTTACTACTATGAAGGCAGTGATGTTCATTTTGAATGGTAAGGCACTGTGTGTGTGTGTGTGTTTGTTTGTGTGTGTGTGTGTGCTCGCGCGCGCGCGCGTGTGTGTATGTGTGTGTGCATGCGTGTGTTATTATTATTATTATTTATTGCGTTGATTATTATTATTAGTATTATATACGCACAAAGTAGAGATAAAGTAGCGGAGAAGACACGCTTACGCCTGTACAACGCTATCGTACTGCCGACATTCCTGTACAATTGCGAGACCTGGGGATTATCGTCAACAGCAATGGCCGATACAGACGCATTCCACCGGCGTCAAATGCGATCACTCCTTGGAATACGATACCCAGACACAATTTCAAACGACGACCTATACCGCAGAACCAAGAGCAACCCTATATCAGACACAGTTGCATGTAGGCGACTACGAATGACCGGTCATGTGCTACGGATGGACACGGACACGCCACCGCAAGTAGCCATGAGCGGCTATTTTGACAAGGGCAACAAAGCACCTCGTGGACGGACAAGGTTGACACTGGCCACAAGTCTGGTTGCTCAGCTGAATAAGCTGGGTGTGCCAATGAAGACCATGGAAGACCTTTCCAGGTGCCGACAACAAGCAGCAGACAAGACAGACTGGAGGAAACTGTGCAGCTCGACACCCGGTGAGAAATCGGTATCAGCAGCTACTACACCTAGCTGATGATGCTCACAAGACAGAAGCGGAAAAAACACTAAATTTCTTTATTTAGTGCTCTACTACGCGAAATGTGCTATTATTATTATTATTATTATTTCGTAATAAGTATTCGCATGCAACGACGCAAATCCACACAATTCAGTAGACACTTCTTTTCTATCAAACGTTTTCTTTCCCTTCTCTTCAGGATAGTACAGGGAATGTTGGAAATTTGGAAAAACACATAACTATATAGAAAAATAGAGAAAAAGTCAACACTTCAACATAGGCGATAAAATGACTAAAGTGTGAAAAAAAAAAAAAAAAAAACTCGAAAACAAAAGCAGCAAGTTGTAGACAAACACGTTGAACACATCAAGAAGCACTTGTCACACTTTCACGAGGTGTGACACCAAACAACTGCAACGATAACACATTCTCCTTCTGTACACATAGTTCTGGATCTAGTTTACGAATATACAGAGCTTCTAACACAGCAAGATGTAACTTAGACCTTCCACGAGTTAAAACCGAAAAGACATCATCACTATACAACTCACGACAATTAGCACTTCCCGACAAATGACGCTTGATGGACGATGTCCGATCATTTAGCTCTGTCACCTTCGACGTTTGCCGTTGTTCTCTTCCGTTGGGCTTGTTGACACCTCCAACGTCCTTTGAATTCATGGTCGTTTTCGTTTGACTCCTCGGTCTTCCTCGTTTCCTCTTGTTGATCGTTGTTGTCACTTCCAGTACCGACGTATTCAAATCTCCAGTACTTCGTCTCTTCACCTTGCTTCTGGTAACTCTTCCGGTGTCCGTGAGCTCCGGTGTCACATTGGGCGGTTTTCGGGATGGTCTTCCTCGCTTCCTCACGCTAGTCTGAGATGGGCCAAGCTCCCCGCCCGTCGAGGCGGAGGCGCGCATGCGTACATCTACACTGGACGCAGACAAAGGCGTTCCAGTATCGGACTGCACAGCACATTTTGGAGGACGGCCACGACGAGGACGAGTACCACGAGCGTCAACAGGGACAAGACCTAACGGCACATGTTGACGGATGCGTGCGCCCAGGTGTTGAAGGGTTCTACCTACGTACCGATCTTCACATTCTCGGCACTGAAAAAAATAGATAAGGTTGCTTCTACTAAGGGTAGGTAGAACGTCCTTCTTCACACTGAACGCACGCGTCGTTCCAAATACTAAATACAATTTCACGCACGGGTAAGACGAACAGACAATGTTGCGCACCTCCTTCTCGACGCGCGCAGAACCAGCACCCACCCAGGGTAAGCGGAGTACCACGGGGCACCTGTCCGGTCCAAATGGTTTCGGATCCTGCGTGATTTGTTTGTTATTAATAAGTTTTGTTAGTAGTGACGAGGGGTATCCATTGTTTGTCAAAATTGATGTGAGCCGCCTAAGTTCTCCTTGAAGAAGGTGAGGAGAGCAGATTCGATGGGCACGATAGACTAGTGCTTTGACAAGGTGAACTTTGGATTTAGTTGGTGTGTAGCTTCCCCATGGAATATACAAGCCAGTAAAGGTGGGTTTTCTGTAAACCGTCATGTCTAAACTCTTGGTGTCGTTGTTGCGGGTAATATTGACATCTAAGAAGGATATCACACCATCCCGTTCACCTTCTGCAGTGAATTTTAATGCAGGATGTAGTCCGTTCAGGGTTGTTAAAAAGTTCTCGCAGGTTTCTTGGTCCTCGTCGTGACAAAAAACATCATCTACAAAACGGTAGTACACCGAAGGCCATAGCGATGGGGGAATGGATGACTCGCAAAATCCAACGAATATGTTTGCTAATACCGGACCAAGTGGAGATCCCATCGCAACTCCATCCAACTGTTTATACATGACATTGTCAAAGGAAAACTCAACACCAGAAGTGACCATTAACATGAGTTTGACAAATTCGCTCTCATTCAAATCAGGTGGAGTCACAGACTTGTTATGGTACAACGCTGCTGCACAAATATCGATGGTTTCACGCAATGGAACATTGGTGAACAAACTGACGACATCGTACGAGCACATGTAACCACACGACTCAAACTTCGATTTCCTGATCTTATCCACGAACTCGAATGTGTCCTTGACGCAATGCCTATTGTAAAGGGTGAGCACAGTCTGTAGCATTGCGCACAACCACTTGGATATCTTATATTGTGGCGAACCGGACATGCTTAGTATCGGTCGTAACGGGATATTCTTTTTGTGAATTTTCGGCAGGCCATACATCCGTGGCCGAGTGGAACCCGTTGGTGCTAGCCGGTCATGTTCATATTGAGTAATCTGATGAGATTTAGATAGAAAAAGTAGGTATTTACTTAATTTCGTATCTATGTTTGCAGTGTGATCATAACCATCGCACGGGCCGAGTCTACAGAACTTAGTGGTGTCATTGAGTATGACCATCATCTTCGCTCTATACTCCACTGCCGACATGATCACCGTTGCTCGGCCCTTGTCAGGGCGAGATATCACGATTTCAGGGTTCTTCCTAAGTTCCTTGAGAACTTTTATATGTTCCCGCGTCAGTGAAAAGGATCGTGTATCTGGCGGAGACTGGGCAAATCGGAACGCCTCGGCAGCCAAGGAAGCTCGGCAGGTTGCCGCCGCCACGTCCGATTTCGCGGGAACAGCGGTCAGCTGTTGTTGAAGAAGTTCAAATTCAGCCAAAATATCAGTCTGGTTGAATTTGGGAGGGATACCGAAATCCATTCCACCACATAGAACATCTTTCTGTAGTTGACTGAGCGTGATACCGGCAAGATTAATGATTGTGTCGTAGTTGTCGCTGCAGGCTCCAAACCTATCTCTTCTCAACGCTGAAACTAGGTTAGTTCGCTTCGTGTCATGTTTGGATCGTTGCTTGCGATCACATTGGGAGAGTAGCCAAGAAAATCTGATAAAGTCAAAGATATTGAGAAGTCGGCGAATATTTTGATACGAGGAAACAAACTTTGATCGTACATTCTGCAGGTGACCCTTAGCCTTGTTTAGGTCATCTCCGAGGAGGACCTTTTCAATTGATATAGAGTCATATAGCTTCAATTTCTGGACCCGTTTCTGAAGGTACTTCGGTGCCACCGAATAATGGAGACACTCACGGAGTAGTCTTACATGGAAAATCGCAGTGTTTAGTCGTCCCCTAAGTGAAATGACTTCGTTAAGAAAAGCAATATAGTCACTGGGGAGACGTAGCTTAAAGTAGTTGAAACAATGCCGTGACGACAGAAAACACAGCAGAGCGGTATTGGTGGTGGTATGCATATATGGGGGACAAGGTCAACCCCACGAATCTCACTCCGTGAATCCCACGGAGGAGACCCCAGAGCCATAGGTGTGGACCCTCTGCTTATGGTTACAGGGGGCGGTATACCAACAGCCGTTGTGACTGCATGTGTGATACTAATAGAGCTTCAGCAAGAGATGTGGCACTGTGGCATGCATGTGTAAAATCGCATGTGTAAAATCGTGAAATCGTGATATCTCGCCCTGACAAGGGCCGAGCAACGGTGATCATGTCGGCAGTGGAGTATAGAGCGAAGATGATGGTCATACTCAATGACACCACTAAGTTCTGTAGACTCGGCCCGTGCGATGGTTATGATCACACTGCAAACATAGATACGAAATTAAGTAAATACCTACTTTTTCTATCTAAATCTCATCAGATTACTCAATATGAACATGACCGGCTAGCACCAACGGGTTCCACTCGGCCACGGATGTATGGCCTGCCGAAAATTCACAAAAAGAATATCCCGTTACGACCGATACTAAGCATGTCCGGTTCGCCACAATATAAGATATCCAAGTGGTTGTGCGCAATGCTACAGACTGTGCTCACCCTTTACAATAGGCATTGCGTCAAGGACACATTCGAGTTCGTGGATAAGATCAGGAAATCGAAGTTTGAGTCGTGTGGTTACATGTGCTCGTACGATGTCGTCAGTTTGTTCACCAATGTTCCATTGCGTGAAACCATCGATATTTGTGCAGCAGCGTTGTACCATAACAAGTCTGTGACTCCACCTGATTTGAATGAGAGCGAATTTGTCAAACTCATGTTAATGGTCACTTCTGGTGTTGAGTTTTCCTTTGACAATGTCATGTATAAACAGTTGGATGGAGTTGCGATGGGATCTCCACTTGGTCCGGTATTAGCAAACATATTCGTTGGATTTTGCGAGTCATCCATTCCCCCATCGCTATGGCCTTCGGTGTACTACCGTTTTGTAGATGATGTTTTTTGTCACGACGAGGACCAAGAAACCTGCGAGAACTTTTTAACAACCCTGAACGGACTACATCCTGCATTAAAATTCACTGCAGAAGGTGAACGGGATGGTGTGATATCCTTCTTAGATGTCAATATTACCCGCAACAACGACACCAAGAGTTTAGACATGACGGTTTACAGAAAACCCACCTTTACTGGCTTGTATATTCCATGGGGAAGCTACACACCAACTAAATCCAAAGTTCACCTTGTCAAAGCACTAGTCTATCGTGCCCATCGAATCTGCTCTCCTCACCTTCTTCAAGGAGAACTTAGGCGGCTCACATCAATTTTGACAAACAATGGATACCCCTCGTCACTACTAACAAAACTTATTAATAACAAACAAATCACGCAGGATCCGAAACCATTTGGACCGGACAGGTGCCCCGTGGTACTCCGCTTACCCTGGGTGGGTGCTGGTTCTGCGCGCGTCGAGAAGGAGGTGCGCAACATTGTCTGTTCGTCTTACCCGTGCGTGAAATTGTATTTAGTATTTGGAACGACGCGTGCGTTCAGTGTGAAGAAGGACGTTCTACCTACCCTTAGTAGAAGCAACCTTATCTATTTTTTTCAGTGCCGAGAATGTGAAGATCGGTACGTAGGTAGAACCCTTCAACACCTGGGCGCACGCATCCGTCAACATGTGCCGTTAGGTCTTGTCCCTGTTGACGCTCGTGGTACTCGTCCTCGTCGTGGCCGTCCTCCAAAATGTGCTGTGCAGTCCGATACTGGAACGCCTTTGTCTGCGTCCAGTGTAGATGTACGCATGCGCGCCTCCGCCTCGACGGGCGGGGAGCTTGGCCCATCTCAGACTAGCGTGAGGAAGCGAGGAAGACCATCCCGAAAACCGCCCAATGTGACACCGGAGCTCACGGACACCGGAAGAGTTACCAGAAGCAAGGTGAAGAGACGAAGTACTGGAGATTTGAATACGTCGGTACTGGAAGTGACAACAACGATCAACAAGAGGAAACGAGGAAGACCGAGGAGTCAAACGAAAACGACCATGAATTCAAAGGACGTTGGAGGTGTCAACAAGCCCAACGGAAGAGAACAACGGCAAACGTCGAAGGTGACAGAGCTAAATGATCGGACATCGTCCATCAAGCGTCATTTGTCGGGAAGTGCTAATTGTCGTGAGTTGTATAGTGATGATGTCTTTTCGGTTTTAACTCGTGGAAGGTCTAAGTTACATCTTGCTGTGTTAGAAGCTCTGTATATTCGTAAACTAGATCCAGAACTATGTGTACAGAAGGAGAATGTGTTATCGTTGCAGTTGTTTGGTGTCACACCTCGTGAAAGTGTGACAAGTGCTTCTTGATGTGTTCAACGTGTTTGTCTACAACTTGCTGCTTTTGTTTTCGAGTTTTTTTTTTTTTTTTTCACACTTTAGTCATTTTATCGCCTATGTTGAAGTGTTGACTTTTTCTCTATTTTTCTATATAGTTATGTGTTTTTCCAAATTTCCAACATTCCCTGTACTATCCTGAAGAGAAGGGAAAGAAAACGTTTGATAGAAAAGAAGTGTCTACTGAATTGTGTGGATTTGCGTCGTTGCATGCGAATACTTATTACGAAACTGTTTTCCCACCGCCTCCAAACTACTGTTTGAATTATTATTATTATTATTATATACGCACAATGTTAAATTATTAGTATTATTATTTTATTTATTTTACTAGGGTGTGTGTGGATATGCGTGCGTGTGTATGTATGTGTATATTTCTTTGAATATTGGAAGGGGTGAGGGTGTATTCATAAGTTGATGGAATGGAAAAGGGAAAAGTCTGAAGAAAAATTGATTTTCACCACCAGGACTCGAACCAGGGACCTTCGCTTGAGGCCAGCGATGCTCTAACCACTGAGCTTTGGTGTAGCTGTCATCCCAGCAGAGACGGTTTAGGGGTATTCGTGTTCTTTTAGCTGATCCTAATTTGTTCTTATTTTTGCATCGTTCCAGGACCAATCAGCACTCGTGTGGCAATGAGAATAACCACTGTGAGTTGATCATCCAGTATCACTGTGACAGTACTATCAGAGATGGGTCAACTACAGGCACCATTCCGCACAACCCCGGCCTGTGTCAGGACTACAATTGCGTCACCGATTTGAAGTGAGTCAGTACACGCATGTATTGTAGCAGTGCGTATCAGTTATAAGGTTGTCGTCTAAGAATATTATTCCAGGAGCACAGCATCTACAGTGATACGTGTATGATGTTCAGTTTCGTAAACACTGCCCTCTATTTATGACTTCATCGGTTATAGCGATAGTTGTCCATTCTTTCCCAGCAAATTCATGGACAACACTCGCGCTGCTGCCCGGAATTCACACGTTTTTTGTCACTGGAAGCAAAGCTTCCATATTCGACACAGTACCCAAAAGAGCTAGAGAAAAATGCTATGTACATGTCTGCACATGCTAGAATACAACATACCGTAGGTTATTTACTCACCATATCTACCCGTCTTGGTAGTCTTGATCCATGCCTCACTGTCACGGCTCATGACACATGTAGCTTGCGTAGCATATGACATACATGTAGGTGACGTAGCTGTTCTACTATAATGCTATGCTCAGGTACGGCATGCACGAGAACTTTGACTACTACCAGAACTGCCGTCATCGGGAGCGCAACATGGGACTGTTCATTGCGGACAGGGTAAGTATCTATTTGTGCACCCTCCTAGCTTTGACTCAAATTATGCACCGCTATAGCAATGCTGTGCTGCATGATGGAGACATTTGCAGGTTGGTTGAGTTGATTAAGGGCCCTGAACTCCTTTTTTGTGGAGTTCCGGGACCAGGTATTGTCCATAAATGTGAATTTTCCATAACACAACCGATCAAGCTTATTTAGATGGAGAAGGAGCAGAGATCTTGCATATGGCGTCATTGTCTCCAAAAACTTGAATTGAATGTGGTAGTATTTCAAAAACTTGACTTGAATGTGGTAGTATTTCAAAAACTTGACTTGAATGTGGTAGTTTTTCAAAAACTTGACTTGAATGTGTATGTAGTATTTCCACTAAAACTCACTTACAGGGTGCCCGGTAGACCGACCGAGGTGCCTGTAACTTCGAGATCTGGACATGAAAAATGACTCTGCTGTCCCAGCTGGTAACTTGCTGGTTGTGTTGAATTCTTATCAGTTGATCTTGAACCGAAGCCGTGATCGGATTCAAACTCTCTGCATTCCACACCTGCTGATCATCAGTCGTGCAAAATCCTGGCCACTACCAGGTTTTCCATATCGTTGTCTCTTGTTTTCGACTCTTCTGTACAGAATCTGCGGGGCACTACGGCACGGTTCACTCGTCAGAACAACAACGGCAACCGTCATGCCTACGAGTGTCCTGAGGAGCGTGACTATTACCCCTACTGGGAGCCAACTCCGTGGAAGGTACTAGTACTTTTTTCTATCGAACATGTGCTGTTCCCACTACATGAACTTGAAACATAATATGGCGTAGAACAAATCGAGCATTATTTTCAGTTGTTCTTCGCTCTATGCATGTACCTCATATGTATCTAATATTGACTGAGTACGAGGTCAATATCGGAAATAAAAGCCGAGTAAAAGACCGAGGCGAAGCCGAGGTCTTTTACGAGGTTTTTATTTCCTATACTGACCAAGTACGTAGTCAATATTAGATTTATCACGACAAATAGTCCGTATTTCAAATTCCAGAACGACAACCTCATGAATCCCGAGTATGATTGCACAACCGTTGCACCACCACCTACTCATGCAGTGACAATGCTGCACTAGGCACCGTTCAACTGCGCAACCCCTAAGCAGTCAAATATAAGCAGTCAATATAGCCCTAAGGAGTGAAATATGCAGGAATATTTGACTGCTTAGGTATGGCAAAAATCTATGTGAGTCAATACTAAGGGAGTGATAATTAGTTATAAAGTCATCGTCATAATCCTTTACAATCTTTGATCATTCTGTGAGAGCTATCCCTTGACTGGTGAGAAGGCGTCATTAACCCACTTGCCAAGTTGTTCGCTCTAGTGCCTTGTAGCAGAGTCACAGGGTGCCTGGTTTCAACACGGCATCTTCTGAAGAAGAAGAAGAAAAAAGCGTGTTTGTACAACCCCCTTCGGGCTCCTGGATGCGGGAGGCCAATGGCCTATGCGATGCACCAACATAAAAAAGAGGAGTTGCACTTGCACCGGGCCTGAGCAAAGTTAATCATGAAGGCCATGATCGATCATGACGTTGGCCATGAGTCTCTATACGAATTGTGTGTCAACTGTGTCAAGTCCTCATCTCATCTACTTACGAAGTAAGGGAAACAGCTATGCAGTCTGTTACAGAATAATCCCCACAAATCAATCAGGGCAGTCATTGTGTACAATGCAAAATGTAGTGCTGGGCCCTGTGCGTGGACTAGGCAACCCCAGTGATTTATTGGATTATTTTGCCACCAACTGTACTGAAATAAGGTCTAAAATGCTCTAGAAAAAATTATCCCCCCCCCCCCCCCCCCCCGGTCCACAAAGAACGAAACTTTAAACGTACTTCGAAGTAGATTCATCAGCTCTTTGAAACATAGTATTGATTTGTGTGAGGTGAAAGTAGGCGTGCTTCTCGGCATTCTCTCTAATGTGTAATGCACTAGGACATCGTCATCATGACAAATGACACGCGCCGATGCCCCTATTACCAGCAAGAGAGCCAGAACGTGAAGAGTCGCTTCTCCTGCATCGTACCCAGCCCGTACTTCCAGTACAACCGAGAATGCCGCGGCGGAAACCGGTACATCATACCGATCACTCGCGAGGAGTGCGAGGTCAGGATACACTCCTCACCGTATTATTCTGTGTTCTGTGCACTCCCAGTGTATGCTCACTTTGCACTGATATCATTCGCATTGCATAGTCCCACATGAGCTGAATGTAGGGATTGCACTGACCTCTCATGTTCTTGGCATGGAGAAGGTGTTACGGTTTAGTCTGTCAAGCCTCGTCCTTTGGTGCATGCATACCCATTACATGCTTTCTTCATTCTCGTTGCATACTGTATTTCCCCGATTATATGTCGCCCTCGATTATAAGTCGCACCTCCATTTTCAGGTTTGAGCAATATTGTTTTGATGTTATCACTTCAGAAGTAAGTCATGCTTGATTGTAAGTCGCACCCGCCTTTTGTGCCCATGAATTTTAGTGTAAAAAGGTGCAACTTATATTCGTGGAAACACGGTATTCCTGCACAAATAGAATGTAGGAATCCAATTGGCGTGTCATTTTACTTGGAATTTGTTGCCAAAACCTCCAATGGATTCCTTTCCTTCCTCCGCTGTATGTAGGCTGTGACGTGGAATTTCGAAAGAGACGCTTCAAGGACCAAGTGCATCAATGCGATCACCGTAGATCCTACGCGTGACAACACAACGCAAATCCTGTCCGGCGTGTGGGCCGAGTACCCCAGTCACGACATCGCCGCACCCGACTGCTTCGAGTCGCCCTGGTCACGTGACAATCACCTTGGTAACGGCATCGGTGGCTTCCCAAACACGTACAACTGGACGATGCCCAACTTGGAGCATGAGTTCTGCGTCTTCCGTATGCGGTAGGTTCTTGCGGTGATGACGAATTGTTGTGCTTAACCCATCAATCACTATGACTTCGTCCTCTTTTCCAGAAAAAGTCACCACTAACTAGCTAAGAAATGTATAAAAACAATTTTATGCTGCTAAGTTTTTGCTTTTCCTTTTGCCATCGAGTGATGATGTCCGCTGTTTGAGTGGTCGGCTATATTCACGTTCAGAGGTACCAAATCAGCATTCCATTATTCCATAAATTGCAATGGTGTTACACACCCTCTGTTTGACAGACTGCTTATCTTGTGTTTTGTCTGCAGCTACAACATCTCTACGTCGGAATATGATGCATGGTCACCGGGCAGGAACTGGACGGAGCTGAATTCCGCTCGCCCCAATCGACCCACAAATGTTCCTGTTTGGGAGCAGGTGAGCGTTGTATTGAGTATGGTCATTCTTTTCTCACTCACACGTCAGTACTGCACACATACTCACACACACCACACACACACACACACACACACACACACACACACACACACACACACACACACACACACACACACACACACACACACACACACACACACACACACACACACACACACACACACACACACACACACACCTGCACACCTACACACACACACTCTCTCTCTCTCACACACACACACACACACACACACACACACACACACACACTCACACACACACACTCATCACAGAATAACAACTGCGGGGGACAGCCACAGCAAGAAAACAAAAGATAGTTGTGTAGCCTCCATGGGGCACGGGGGGGGGGGGGGGGGGGAGGGGGGAGGGGGTCACGTGCCCCCCCCCCCCTCCCCTAAAGATTTCAACCCACATGTAGGTTCAGCATGCACATTATGACAATGAATGACATGCACCAGCTATCCTACACATATGCGACTGTGCACCCCCTAGAAGGGGGACCAGCTACGCCCCTGATGGTGATTTTCAATGGTGGCCAAAGAAATCCAACCCGTGAGCCGAAAGCAGCGCCAGGTCTCATGCGGTCCTCAGATGGGTATTTGAACAGTGCATGATGCAATCGGAATGTTAACACGGCACTAATTTTGATTCGCGGGTCGGATTTCTTCTGGCGACGATTGTACGACTCTTTATACTTAGTTATGAATATCCGTGAACTCTCAGCCATTTGAAATGGTGATCACAACTTGAGTGGCCTGGAGATTGCAGGGTTTTAGACATAGTGAAGCCTTGAGTCTACTGCCAGACATTGTACATACCGGGCACGTTTGCGTGAGACACTGACAACAGCTACATTTTGATTACAGTAAACTAGAGGATCACTCTTTGGCGAATGATCGTGCACTCAACATACTTTGAGAGGCTAGGTCAGAGCGATTTTGGGCTGTGTGGGATTACAAAATATGTTGCTTCTACGAATCCGTGCTGACATTGTCTCTGTAGGTTGGACTGAATGAAACTCTGGGTCGGGCGCGCGGATACGAGTTTGAGCAGAACCCCGTCGTGGATATTTTCGGCACGCCCAACCTGCCATTGAGGCTCGCTATCAACACGAACCAGTTTGGCAGGACATTTCAAGACAGGTACGAGCATTCAACCCGTCTGGTTTATCTGAGTGTCGATCCTTGTCAGAATGTTTTGGTAACTTCTCTTCTCTCAATTATTTCTTACGAACAGTCTACAGTTATCTTGCCATGTAGCGAGGCAAAAAACACTTCATTGTAGCTGACAACCACCCACCCACCAAAAAGAGTGCTGTGTGCATGAAATGTGATTTTCTAAAGATCCTTGCAACGTTTGATAGAGAAAACCGAAGTTCACCAACACACTGGCTTCTGGAATCAAATATTTTACGGATGCCAAAAGCCTCCTTTAGTCTCTTTCCCTGCGGAACGGAGATAGGGTATCTTTGTTTGCGACCCCAATTATTGTTGTTCTTTTCCCAGGTCACACACGTTTGCGTCTCGTCCGCGACCAGAGGATTTGGAGGATGCCGTCATCCACAATGTGCAGGTGCGCGGCAAACGTGGCAACATCGTTCAAGTGTATCCCGGGGTGGAGTACGACTTCGCCCCCAATCGACTACAGCTAGCAACCAATGACTACATCCATTTCCAGTAAGCAGCTACACTTCACTCCTAGGTAGTAGGCATTGCTGTTCCCTTTGCCAATGTTAGAAATGGCAGCTTGGATCTAGATTTAGACATCGTTGGATTGTGTATAAAATAAAGTAATTGCACCTCCACCAACAGGCCGAAAGCTGCTGGTTACCTTTTGAGAACAATGTGTCTAAAATACCTGGATTATTTGCTGATATTCTAACACTTGAGTTTCTTACATGCAGCAGCCATGTGCCTGTTGTATCCTGCTCAAGGCAGACCAACTCTTCGAAAGATGAGAATGAATCATCAGTAAAATGCAATGGCTTTTAGAGGGAAGCTTTCTCAGTATGCGAGGACTCCACTGTAGCCATCCGTCAACAATGTATATCGTTCAAGCAATATGACGACAGACCGCTGATGGCAGAGTTGTGATGCAGCTGCTGCACTAGACGCCGTGCATTGCACTGTTGGAAGCCTGACAGTCTGTTATTGTTGATAGACGCCACCCTGTTCATATCTCTCACCGAATGGATATTTTGTGATTTCATTCCATATCACTATTTCATGTAGTATGCTAGTACTGTTTGTCGGCAGTTCCGAGCAGATACTGTGACCCCTTGAGGATATGCATGGCCACGATGAGATTCCGGGGAAAAAAATCTCTGAACTGTGAACAAGATAACAAACCCACTACCATTACTGCATGTTGCTCTAGGTGGACGGGCTCCAACACAAATCCCAACAACAACGACGGTCAGGGGCGCCGTGGCACCGACCGACACAACGCCGTGATGCTGCACGAACCTCGGTATCCGGAGAGACCGGCGCAGGATCCGCTATTGAGGGAGCAGGTGTTTGGCAAGTGGGGCCTCAGCTATCCGCAGCACTTGGATAACACGACTTTCCTAGGACTGAGTAGAGAGGATACAGACAGCCTGGCTTTGCTGACATCCAGTAAGTATGCGTTTGACTATAACTTATAAGAGCAGGGGCGTCGCACACGGTATGGTCACTACGGTATTGACCGTACCACTATTTGCCCCAAGTACCCTGTGAATCAATACAATAAAATGCACTGATTTGGGCTCTAAATTTCCAAATTTTTGGGCTCAGCCACCGCTCACCCACGAGTAAATTGTACTTCAGATGGCTGACCGTACCGCACTAATTACCTTCCGACGCCCCTGAAGAGGCTGTTATTTGTAGCAGCAGCTATAGATTATATCTCCTCTGTCTTTTCGACTATCCACAATACTTTACATGTTGTCATGCCTTGTTTCGTAACTGTTTTATCTGAAATTCCTGCTGCCCATGGGTTGCTAAGGGATGACTTCATGCATGATCTGTGCCATTTGAACTGGTGAGTATGTATGTGCTGACCGATGCAAATTTGCGTTAATGCGGACAATTTTTCGCACTCACCCCTCAAGTTGGCCACAACTCTGGTGTGATACAATACAAGGCTGAAAATACTGGTATTGATTCCTCTGCCTCGAAAGATGTTTTACATGATTGTTATGGTGGTGTAAGCACATCCCGTGTTGCCTTACCTAGCGTAGCATGTTCACTGTCATCGCTTTAAGGTCCGAGGAAGCTGAGACGTTCCCTTCCTCCATTATTCCCAATCGAACTCGCCAATTCCACCGAAACTGGGTGGCTGCGCCCCACTACCGTACTATCTCTAGTATAAGCACAGTCTCCAATAATAGCACGTCTTCAATAATAGAACACCTTTGGGCGGCATTCAAAAAATAAAGTGCTCAGTCTCCATTATAAGCACACTGTCTATCGGTACCTGGTAAAAAGCATGTACCGTATTATCTCTAAAATGCAGTACCGGCGAAAAAGCCCTGAAATGTGTGTGTCTGACATGAATTTGGCATGGCAACATGCCTCTGAAATGAGGTTGAAATAATAATGGAACAGTCTCCAATAAAGGAACGTCTCCATTAATATCACGGGGCGGAGCCTGTACATTGAAAAAATACAGGACCGTGCTTATATTAGAGATAATACGGTAAATGTCACTAAAAGCGCCGTATCGTTCTTATAAAAGCACGGATGAACGCGACTGCCCTATTCATGTATGCTCACATGTGCTTGTGCTAGAGGTGTTTCTTTCAGTCCATTAGCACAGTAGTAGACTGAAATCAGTCTTTCTTCTGTGTAATCTATGGTATTTACTATGGCAGCTCAATTCCGTGGAGAAATGTCAGAGTTGGATGATGCTGGAACCTACTTTGACCTGGGACCCAAGAAAGTGACATCGGTCGGAACGTATCACTACATGTGCACACGCAACAACAACTTCTCCAACCGCAGTCAGAAGGGAAAGCTTGTTGTCAGCGCCCAGTCGGTTCAGTACCGTTCCATCGGACTCAACGGTGGCAACCTAACCATGCCATCAAGGTGAGATACGATGCCTCTTACTAGAGGATTCACCCAGAGTGCTGAGAGTCCTCAATATAATGCATGAATTTGTTCATCTCTCCCATGTGAAGATGGTTGTGGTAGAACGCATCTCTTCAACCGAGCAAAATCACACGATAACTCAACAACTGACAACGAGTTTTAGTGTTTGTGCTGTTAGTTCCTGTGGATGCAGATACAGCCGGTCTAACTGGTTTACTACGCCGACGTAAAAAATTCTGAAAACAAACTCGTATTATTTTTCGTGTTCAGGTCAACCATGGTTCATGTTCCACGCGGTGCCTTTGGTCAACTTCACAACCTGCGTGTCGAGTCCTGGCCCACGAGAGATTGCCAACAGCTCCTGGAAAGCCTTGGCAGTAGCATACTGAGTGATGGAACGACCGCCAGCGACTGCTTGGCGCTCTACCCAGAAGGCAGACTGACGGTGAACGGCGCCAAAATGCGTCTCTCCATGAGCCTCAAGGAGAATCAAGCCGCCTCCTCCATTCGTGTAAGTTAATGCTTGTGGGCCGGGCATGCAAGGCTCTCCTGTGATTCCAGGTCGTATTTACAGTGTAGGGAGTTGACCTCTCAGGTCATGGACACTATTTGTGCTCATTTTCAGCTTTCTTGCCTTGGTAAAGCCAAGAGATGATAAACTACAAGTAGAAGTCTTCGAGTAGAAAGGCCTTCGATGTATTGACCATTGCGAAGTTAGCAAAAGCCTTCGAAAGGTACGAAATTCGTTGTGTGTGTGTGGGGGGGGGGGGGGGGGTGGTAAGTTGTAAACCATTTGTTAGTGCGGATATTGAGCTAGAACCTATACTTGTATGAATCTGTTTCTTTCCGTACCTTGAAAGTGCTTGAGGCTCGAATTTGTCTTATCATCCACGCTTCTCTATATGTGATTACCTATGCTTGTTGTGCAGGTCTACCAAACTACTGCGTCGTCAGCAAGTTCCTGGTCAGAGGTGACTGTCACAAGTGTGGAGAACAATATCGTGACGTTCGAGAGCCAGCAGGGCGGCCTGTACGTAGCCAAGGAGGACCCCAACTTCATCGTGATCGGCAGCATCGTGGCAGCCTGCTTGATTGCTGTGATCATCCTTGTTGGAGCGCTCGTGTACTTCAAGCGCTATCCGGGCAAGATCTCCAGTATGCGCCGCAGCATTGGCCGGAACTATACCTACCTCAGGAGATCGATGCAGAGCAGGGTGTGATGCAACGCGGCTGGCTGCCTTGCAATCTGCAACCACGTGGCTTGATATCAGCCCATCCGCTGGTCGGTGCAAGATTGCAAATGATCTGAGAAGCATGGAGTGGGCCGTTCTTTGCCTTGTGTAGCCACGCTGACATGAGGGAGGACGGCTGAACATCGTCATAGCTGTCTCTTCACCATCCCACCTATATCTGCAATGCAGTCACTCCTTTGCTCTCCGCTCTGCCTCCCCATGTTGAAAGACATGCACTTCTTATGACAGTCTACCAGGTAGTATTTGCTGTCATCTGTCACTCATATTTTGCATTTAGAACTCAGTTTACGCCGGGATTCCCTCAAGCATCATTGCGTTCGGACACTCATCAATCTGGGCGCTCACCTGCTACTCTTTCACTGATCCAACTTCTTGCTATCATATCTTTCTACTCCATTATTGGTTCTCTGTCGTATTTTAAAAGTTTGTAGCGCTGGTTCGCAACATCTTTACCCGACACAGCAGAACCGCTGTTGGAAAACAATCGCTACGAATTTGTTCGCCTTGTGTGTGTGTGTGTGTGTGTGTGTGTGTGTGTGTGTGTGTGTGTGTATGCGCGCGCGGGTGCGTGTGTGTGTGTGTGTGTGTGTGCATGTGCGTATGCATGTGTGGCTGGTTGGTAAAGTAACTCCACTTTCACGTCAGGATACAAGTGCATCTAGGGTCTGCTTTTATCAAAGCGCGTGCTGTCTATGCTGGTTACCCCAACAAGTGTAGGGTGTGCATAGGTACTACAAGTAGTATCTGTCTTGGCCGCCCTTTTCCGATGTGCTCCGTGCGGTGCAGACCAGGTGTGCATTGCGAGTCGATTCACATGGCTTCGCCAGTTGTGTGGATTAGACCGTTATCTGGCGCTAGTCTTGATCTGTTTCATTCCGGATCAGATCTGCTATCGTTGCTATTAGCCAGAGAAAATCTGTGCATGGGTGCACATCCAGCGCATTTGCAGACTTGCGCTTCTCTTGCGACGAGAGCGTATACATGGTGTGTATGTGTGTGCGCATGTGTGTGTGTGTGTGTGTGTCGGGTTGGGGGGGGGGGGGGGGGGAGAGGGAAGAGGAGAGATGCATAATGTACCATTACATGTCAAATGTAGCTGGGTGTCCAGCTGAAGTCTGTGAGTGTGAGGAAACGTATACAACTGTCTGACATTGTGACCCTGGAACATGTGCGCTCTTTTGTAGTCTGGTTGTTTTCTGCATATTTGGTGGCCAACCTGATCGGGTCACGGGGTGTGACCCCTCGCTGGCAGGACTTTTCATTGATTCAGACATGTTTTTGGTCTGTCGTGGTCCTTGCCATGGTAATCTGTGTGGAGGCATCGATCATCCACTGCATGTCCATAGTCTAGACATACCGGTAGTAGAGCTACGTACTTGAGAAAACTGTCCGGATCTGGATATAGTCTGACTCCGAAATCCTATGCCTAGACATTGTGCTTGTACTTGTAGGCGAGATCAAGCATGATGTCGTCATGTTCTGATCGCGAGCAGACATGACATTCGTGACTCGATAGTATTGCATCAGATTACCCTATTGGGTGGCGAGTACTGACGGAATGTCGAGCCAGCAACATTATTCTGTCAAACCTTGACCGCACACGCTCGGCCATTGCCGAATTTGGTAGCGCGTTCTTGACAGCTTCGCAAGGCAAGCGAAGTAGGCTATGGAGAAAGAATAAAGCCTCTTGCAGACGAGGCGTTTTCTCAGAGCAGAAGATCGAAAAGAAGAAGAAGGAGGCTTTGCAAATCAAGTAGCGCTGGTCGCTTCAGCAAGCTCCAAGAAAGGCTCCGAACAACGAAACGATTGTAATAGGAATTCGATCAGTTACAAACCATGATGAAGATCTTTGTTCTCCTCGTTCTGCTTGTGGCGGCTGCCCAAGCAGACGTCTACCTCCACCAACCCAGGTAAGCGATGAAGAGGAAATCTAAACAGTTTCCTGCAGGCCCAGTGTTCACCTGCCTGTGGACTGGTCGGAGTAGTTTGGTTTGGATCAACCGTTGTCACGTTTGCTTGGCCACAACAAGCGCACTCAGCGTTTGGTGGATCAACGTCACTATGTGGCTAAAAATAATCGCTGTGATCGAACTTACTTTCTGTGCGTTTTTTCGTCGCTGCAGAGGTAGCAACAACCGTCTTGACGAAGCCAACCGTGGCCGAAACAACGGCAACAGGTAAGGGAGAACGTTTGTGTGACCATTTTAGATTGACTCGGACTACAACACTGGAGTTTGTTCGTCAGGTATCGTGCATGACTTTCAGATCATGATGGGTTGGTTATACACCACGACTCACGAGTAAAAGTAGAACATAGATCTGAAGTGTTCCGACCTGGATCTTTCTCTCGTTCTGCAGATTGTTTGACTCGCAGAATAACAACCGCGGAGGCTACAACGTCGGCGGTATTTACTACTATGAAGGAACTCAGGTGCATTTCGAGTGGTAAGTGATCATGGTGATTGGCCCTAGTAGATCTTCACCGTCCTCCTGTATAGAGTATTCCGACCGAAAACCGGGGCAAGGAAATCGCACTGTGCTTCCACGATCACCATGCAAGGGTCGCGAAAAACATTACATGTATCATGGACAATCATGTTGAACAGTCTGTGCTGGGGTGACGACGACTCGGAGAAGGCGACACCGGAAGGGGGGGGGGGGGGGGGCTGGATTGGACATGAACACCCTTGATTTCAGTTCCAAACTCCATCTGGGTTTTTTTTATGAACTTCAGCAACAGGTCTTCCGGCCGGGAGGGGCAATCTCCAAGGAGGTGGCTCCTACATTGCGACTGTCCCATAGCTTACAAGTAGTTGTGAAACATTGCTGACACATACAATGAATAGCCATTGTCTTAGCCAAAGGTCTCTTGTTCAAGTTAGGACTATGACCGTCTGTTGCTACGAATGCTGAACCTCAATTTCCCAATCCCAACTCCAAAATTAACGGCACATTTATTTTTGTTCTTGCTTTCAGGACCAACCAGCACTCTTGTAATGATGAGAACAATGACTGCGAGCTCATCATTCAGTACACATGCGACAGCATGATGCGCGATGGTTCCACCACCCAGACCATCCCTGAGAACCCCGTTCAGTGCCGTGACTTTGACTGCCAGACTGACTTGAAGTAAGCACTATTGAGTTTTGCTATTTCAAATACAGTTTTAATTTTTTTTAAGTTTCTGCTTAGTTTGAACAATTTCCATGCACAGGTTTCCAACTAAACTTCCATACAATAAATATTTTCATGTGACTAAAATTTATGTAGAAACTGATCATGGCATGTGGACAATGGCCGAACGTGGCCGACATCATGTGGCCCAAAGACGCAGGGGTTGACTGGAATTGCACCCAACATGGCTGTCCCGTATGGTCATGTGATGGATGTGAAACGGCTCAATTGAAACGGTATCCCTTCCCTCTTTCTTGTTGCAATTGAAGGGTGTATGTTCCGCAATAAACACTGAGCTGTAATCACCTCATCTGACCTGTCCTTGCGTGTTGATTTTGTCCAGATACGGCATGCACGAGAACTTCGACTACTACCAGAACTGCAAGTACCGCTCGCGCAACATGGGACTGTTCATTGCTGACCGAGTGAGTACATGGTAGAAATCTGCCGGTCCATGAAGATCGCCCATGTTTGATCCTTGTCAATGCCAGCCGAGGCACTGACCGTACATTGACCTGGCATAGCACCAGGCGCGTGCCCCGTATGTGTTCCTGGGTGTCCGGAACCCCCCTTTTTTCGCTCAAAATGCAGGATTTTGCTTCTTTTTTTCATTTCCCCAGGGGACGCCCCGAACCCCCCCCCCCCCTTGAAGGGCACCGGCGCACGCGCCTGAGCACTGGAGTGGCTTCACACCTTTGCCATGTGGCTGAATTTGTGTAAGAAGCGATCATAACATGTAATCACTTGAACCAACATGGCCGGCATCATGTCACCCGTAGGTGCAGGAGTTGGAACCAACATGGCTGTCTCGCATGGTCGTGTGATAAATCTGCAGTCTCGCTGATAACTCCTAATAATGCACATCTGCGTTTGTCCTACAGAACCTGAACCGCAAGGACGCCCGCTACACCCGCCAGAACGACAACGGAAATCGCCGTGGCTACGAGTGTCCCGAGGAGCGTGACTACTACCCGTACTGGGGACCAACACAGTGGAAGGTAGGCATACCATGCTATGATGCTGTACCATGCTGTGATGCTGTACCATGCTGTGATGCTGTACCATGCTGTGATGCTGTACCATGCTGTGATGCTGTACCATGCTGTGATGCTGTACCATGCTGTGATGCTGTACCATGCTGTGATGCTGTACCATGTTGTGATGCTGTACCATGCTGTGATGCTGTACCATGCTGTGATGCTGTACCATGCTGTGATGCTGTACCATGCTGTGATGCTGTACCATGCTGTGATGCTGTACCATGCTGTGATGCTGTACCATGCTGTGATGCTGTACCATGCTGTGATGCTGTACCATGCTGTGATGCTGTACCATGCTGTGATGCTGTACCATGCTGTGATGCTGTACCATGCGGTGATGCTGTACCATGCTGTGATGCTGTACCATGCTGTGATGCTGTACCATGCTGTGATGCTGTACCATGCTGTGATGCTGTACCATGCTGTGATGCTGTGATGCTGTACCATGCTGTGATGCTGTACCATGCTGTGATGCTGTACTACTGTTAGGTGGCATGCACTGAATCATAATGGTGTGGCGTGTAAGCATACCATGCTGTGATTCTGCACTACTGCATACCATGCTGTGATGCTGTACTACTGGGTACCATGATGAGCTAGTGAAGCACTGAATAGTGAAGCACTGAATCACAGAACAACAACGGCTATCAAGGCTAGATAGTCGCTACTCCGAGTTTCATGCTTTCGCAATCATCAGGCAACACCCACTGAATCATAATTGTGTCACTTGTGAGGTTGACTACAGTCCCCTCTACACTGAGAAGCATACTTTTGGATGGTTGCATCGTCAGCATTTTGCTGCAGTACTCATGCCATCATGATGCAATTCCAGTTTGAATACAGTACCTTGCCCACAACACTTGGGGTATTTTCCCTGTGTACTGAAAGTCACACAAATCTTCAATCAAAACATTTACTTAGGTTTTATAGTCCCTTGTTCGATTTTCACTTGTGCCAGTCATCTCCTTCCGTACTGTCCCCACCAAATTCCCTCTTGCCTTTAGTTGATGTTTTAAGGCTAATACGCAATTGTGTTCACCTTCCAGGATGTCGTCATCATGACCAGCGACGTATCTCGCTGCCCGTACTACCAGGACAACAGCCAGAACGTCAAGCCGCGCTTCGCCTGCCAGGTGCCCGACCCGTACTTCCAGTACAAGAAGCGTTGCGGCACAGGACGCACCGGCTACATCATTCCCATCACCGAGGCCGAGTGCAAGGTATGGGCTGCAATGGCACAGTCAAATCTCCACCTCTGTACATGTGAAAAGTCTGACCTGCACATACTTTGATTTTTGTGATGCCAAAGACATCACATACAAATCTGGAAATACTCACGTCAGGAAGTATTATGACGTCAAGGGGCCATCAAATTCAGTGCATTGCGAGCTGAATTGTAACTACCAATGGCCATAGTGTGTCATTCAACTTATATGTTACTTGAAGGTTCTGTGGTTAAGATTCGTGTCTCCCAATTATATTGGTGTGTATTTCTAGAAAGTATCATGGAACTACGAGCGCGATGCCACAAACCCCACGTGCGCAAAGGAGATCACTGCCTACGATCCGACTCACCCAGAGACCGGCGTCAACTCCTCGCTCATCATCTATGGCCAGTGGCTGGAGTACCCCAGCCACGGCATCGCCGGGCCCGACTGCCAGGAGGCGCCCTGGTCGCGTGACAATCACCTTGGTAACGGAATCGGCGGCTTCCCCAACTCGTACAACTGGACCGTTCCGAACCTGGACCACGAGTTCTGCGTCTTCCGCATTCGCTACAACATCTCGACGTCCGAGTTCGATGGCTGGTCGAAGACTAACTGGACCACGATGAACGCTGTCAACCCAAGGCCTGGCAAGCCCACCAACATTCCTATCTGGGACCAGGTAAAATCTAAGACGTGTGCAAGAGCGGATTCTACCATGCATACCATGTTGAAATTGATTCTGGTGTGACTGTGAGCATATATGCAATAAATTCGAAGATTTTAGAACCATAACGTGTAAAGTGCACGAGATGAACAAGTCGGTGTGGAGAGCAACCACCTTTCCCATAAGATAAAAAAAACATACCTCTTTGTCTTTCTTAAAATTGGTTGCATTGTTTTGGTGGACCGTTTCTGCAGGTGAAGCTCAACGAGACCACTGCCCGCAGCCGTGGATACGTCTTCCGTCAGAACCCAGTTGTTCACATGTTCGGCGAGACTACGAACATGCCCCTGCGCCTTGCCATCAACACCAACCAGTTCTCACGTACCTTCCAGGATCGGTAAGTCAATGCATTGACAAATCCTGTGTTTACTGCATACAAAAATGTGATCGTAAATGAGAGTCTTCCCCTGTGATTGTATATGACCTTGCAAGTACTTTTATGATACTGCAGTGTGATAACAATATCCTATTACTCTATTATTACAGGGAGAATACAATTTATGGGATTGTTCAGCTGTTATGCTCCACTGCCCTTCCCGACTACACATTATTGTACATTCTGCAGTAGCCATCGCATTGCCCAGAATCTCTACGTCGACCATGCGTGTAACCTCTGCTGAGCTGCAATACTCATTTGCCTTTTGTCTGGATTTCTTCGCAGTACTCACGCATTTGCCGTGCGTCCTCGTCCTGCCGAGCTGAAGGAGGCCGTCATCCACAACGTACAGGTCCGCGGCAAGCGTGGTAACATCGTCCAGACGTACCCTGGCGTGGAGTACGACTTTGCCCCCAATCGCTTGGAGATGGCCAGCGACGAATACATCCACTTCCAGTAAGGGCATTAGTGCAGTGTGTTGCTGCCGTTGTGCAATTTGAGAAAGCCATACATTCTTGCCACGCTCTTCATACAATCTATGGGCTACACTAAAAAAATGAAAGAATGAAGTTATCCCACAAAATTTCTGTAAAGGTTTCTTCCCAGGTAGATGCAAAATGTTTGGTGCGCTTGACACATTGCATGCATGCTTGGGAATTCTTTGGAAAGGGATTGTTATTCTCGTGGGCATGCTATCACCAACTATTCTATGGCATGACCCGCTTCAGGTGGACCGGCTCCAACACCAACCCGAACAACAACGCCGGACAAGGCAAGCAGGGCACCGACCGTCACAACGTGGTCATGCTAGAGGAGCCGCGCTACGAAGAGGGTAGCATGCCGAGGACCAGCCTGTACGGACAGTGGGGACTCAACTACCCCCAGCACCTGGACAACACCACCTTCCTCGGCTTCAACCGTACCGACATGGACACACTCGCCTTTCTTACTTCCCGTAAGATTCGTGTTGCACAACTTGAATTGTACATGCATGCAGTCCACAACTTAAAGAGAGAGAGAGAGAGAGAAATAGGGAGAGAACTTATCGTTTGTATCGGGTGCATGTGTGGCTGTGTGGGAAGCCAGGTATACCCCGCTATTGCCTTACTGAGCCTGCCAGCAATGTTGTCATGACTCATCAAAGTTGGCATCATCTTCATGTTTACCACTGGCAGCGGTTCTGTCAAATCTTTTTATGCCTTCTTTCCATGTTTTCGTTCTCCATTCCTCTTGCTGTTTCTAGATCAGTTCCGTGGAGAGATGTCGGAGTTGGATGACGCCGGCACCTACTTTGACATGAAGCCACGCAAGGTGACCGATCTTGGAACGTATCACTATATGTGCACACGCAACAACAACTTCTCCAACCGCAGTCAGAAGGGAAAGATCACCGTGGGACTCGCAGCCCTGGCTTATAAGATGATTGGCTGGAACGGCGGTGCCATCGAACTCACCGGCGGGTGAGTCTTCTCCTAATGGCAGCAACTCGTATGCCACTGAACTAAATCCTTTATGGTCGGTGTGAGAGTCAGTCAGAATGTTTAAAAAATTCTTTGTCCAGCTTTTTCAAAAGAATGCAATGTATCATCGTACAGTGCATTCTTTTGGCGCTAATGTGCGTACAGAGCAAAGATCTTTAGATACCTGTGTCACTTTGGTCTGGCCAAAGAGGTCTTTATTTTTGAACTTGATGTAAGGGTATTCGTAACACTGTCATTCTGACATTGTGCTGACCATAGGTGGACCCCCGCCCCACCCCTCAACCCAGCACACGACCAAGACACGAACTAAATTCCTGTGCTGCCCTTCACCATTCTCGTTCACAGAGCCAACCGACTGACAGTGCCACGCGGAACATTCACCCAGCCACAGAGCCTGCGTGTCGAGCACTGGAAGGAGAAGGACTGCCAGCAGCTTCTGGAGAACCTGGGCAGTGGCATCTACGGCACGGGCGAGACCGCCAGCGACTGCCTGGCCGTGTTCCCCGAGAGACAGCTAGCCTATGGCAACAACAGCATGTGGATGAACATGAAGCTCAACGAGCGCCAGTCCGGCGGAAAAGTCCGAGTAAGTGTTGTGCCTGCTGCTCCTTCAAATGTGTGTCCTTACCAAGCTGTTGAACGCCATGCGATTTCAAAAGTGCCAATTCCCTTCAGCATCGGCACAGTGCACACATTGCACGACCAGTGCCGTAGAAGACAGTGCAATGATAGAATAGTCAGTAGAAATGGACAGGAAATTGGAAGAAAGGGATGAGAGTTGAATAATGAAGTGGAGTTTCAATTTTTCGGAGCCATGTGTGCGTATCATTTATGCCAGCAATTCTAGTAAAATAGAAGAGGGAAGGGGCTGTAGAAGATCGAAAGAATGAAGTGGCATAACAATTTCAGTAAAGGAATATTGGAGTCTAGATGTGCATTAGATGTCAGAAAATACTATAAGTAGAGAGCAAAGAAAACAGCGACAGAATTTAATCTCCTTTCCGCTCTTTCCTTTCATTGTGTGACAGGTGTACCAGACCACCACTGGTGCAGCAAACTCGTGGACCGAGGTGACGATCAACAGCTCCGACGCTACCAGCGTCGCCTTCCAGGCCAAGTCCGGAGGTATCTACGTCGTGAAGAAGGAGCCGAACGTGGCGCTCATTGTCAGCATCACCGCGGCCTGCATTGTCGTTGGCCTGATCATCCTGGGTACCATCTTCTACTTCAAGCGTTACCCGGGCAAGTTCAGCAAGATGCGCACCAACACGTCGCAGAGCCTGCAGTACGCAGTGCGCTCCTTCCAGACCAAGGTCTAATAGCTGACCCTCATCAACAGCTATCTATCTCAATATTCTACCTCTTATTTTTTTCTCCTCGTGGCAGTGGTTGACGTGTCTTGCTGTCGGCCATGTATAATATGAATATTTCAACAATCTTCTTTCAATGGCCAAAATAACTCCAATTTCGACAGTCATCCCCACCTTATATCCCTTCTTTCTGCTTCGTTTGATGACTTCGCTTTCTGCTGCTCTGCTGGCCGGATGCAACAGGAGCCTTGCCATTCCAACAACTCTCTTTCCTGTCCTAAGTCAATTTTCGAAAGAATCTAGAGTGCTGTGTAGTGTGTGAGATGTCTGACCATGGGTGTTGCAGGGTCAGAACCGTTTGGGTCACATTCTTACCCCTCGACCGTTTGCAGTTGAAGCAAAGCAAAGCTGGGATGACTTTGTTTAGCAGGGGTACTGAGTAACTCGCGTGTTTTCACCTGTCATCGCTGCATGGATATCCGGTCTGAGACTCGTGGCCGCTTTTTGGTGACTGCCGGGAGACAAACCTGTGAGAACATGTACGCTTATTTTTACACTGCAGCACAGGCATACGTCGTGGAGATAATGTCTCTCCCCTCCTATGGAGCCTTATACTTGTAACAATCATTACAAGCACACATTTTAAAACAAGCTGAAGTGAAACTTCAAAAGTGTGTCCAAACACGATTTCGTTTTGTACGTACATCAGCACTAGAATCCAGATCTTGTAGCGGACGCCTTTCTCTTTGTTCGACTGAATTTGTATTGTCCCCGTGTAATTGGAACTATTAAAAAAAATGTTCAAGAAAAGTTCTATTCAGTCAGCCTCACGTTTCTGCGTCCATAGGTACGTCACAGGTCACGACGGGTGACTCAAGCTGCAGGTGATTTTGAAGTTATTTTGCCATGACGTGAATGTTATGGCAGTATTTTCTTCTTCTTTTTATTCCATGGCTGGTAGCCCTCATCCATTATATTGGTCAACACCATGTCATCCATGAATTGAGAATAATAATAATAATAATGGTGAAAAAGGAGGACAAAATGTTACGAGTTATGACTAACTGTCCACCAACGTAACCAGATCTTATACAGTCAGTGAGTGCGACAAAATGGCACAAAACCAACATTTTGTCCTCCTTTTTCACCATAATTTAATTGGCTTATCATCCGAGTTAAATAATAATAATTCGAAGGATTGTCGGGGAAGTGAACTGCCTGAAAAGAGAAAAATCGCCAGACTCCTCATTTTTTTCTCTTTTCAGGCAGTTCACTTCCCCAACAATCCTTTGAATTTGAAGTTCTCCCAATCCTTTCAAAAATAATAATGATAATAAACCGTGAACATGGGCGAAGCAGACATTTTAACATTAAAAGAAAGGCTGTCAACGGAAGTGAGCTTCGATATGACTTCATTACGGTCAGCACTACGGAAAATATTGAAGTACGACATGCTGCCAAATAAATTCCAAAACCGTGTCTTTCCTGAAATTCTGAAAGGTATAAAAAGTCAGCACGACAGTGGTAAAATTTAATAACAAAATATGGACGGAATGTACACTCTACTTCGAAGTAGTAGGGGAGTCACGACCAAGTGATGCGACTAGCAGATCTGTTAGCCAAGTCTACATAGACTGATGCATGTTCAAATTCACGTGTCCACACAGTTCCTTGTCTTGCAGCTGCTGCCTTGGGTGGTCCAAGAGGTCTTGTGAACTCCGGGTACCATTCACTGGGCATGCCACATTCCACGCCAGCTTTGCACGGGATATAGCCGTCCTGAATGCTGTAAAACCATGCATAGCTGAGGAACACCCTCTCGTTGGCCACAATCAGGAACGGAGCGAGTGACTCCACCAGCCGCTCTGCTGCAGCGACACGACAACCTGCAGCCGTGGCAGGTACGGGGACGGGTCCCTTCCACGAGGCGATCAGAAACGAATTTCCTGGAACTCCGCGCTGAACAAACGGTACGTTCGCAGGCCCGGGGAATGCATGAATGACCACAGTGTGGCCGGCATTGCTCACGTTGATTATCGTTTCGAAACTGCGCTCCATGAGCGGAACATTCCATGATCCATCGGCATTTTCAGTGCTGAAGCTGCCAAACATCTCATCAAAGCCGCCATTGAAATGCTGCAGGGTAGTGTTCCACGTGATGTCTGCTGGAAGGTTGGGAGCAGGGTGCGCCTCCATTGCGCCATTTCCCCAAATCTCGCCGCCGTTCAGCTCCGTGAACGTGTCCTGTGCCAATTGCATCATCTGCATCTTACCTTCAAACAATTTCCGATAGCGCTCTGCAGAAATGTTGGCATTGAAGTCGCGAAATCCGGCCCCGTCGATGAATATACCATCACACAGGGCCTTGGCATCTTCTCTGCTTTTGAACAATGACAGTGGAGCGTTTACGAACCACTTCTGGGCTTCTGGCACGGACAGGTCCACAAGCGGATGTCCACGACTCTCAGCTGTGGGCTCTCTGAACCACAATACGTGTCCATAGTCATCTTTCATCCACCATTCGGGATGATCGAATAACTGATCTACGATGAACTTGATTATGGATACCATGCCGGAATTCTGGTAGTATAGCAGTTTTATTTTAGGATTTATCGCTTTCAGCGCTCTGGCAAGGATGGCCAGGCTGCTTTCGCCTGTTCCATTGAAATTTTGGCTGTCCAAGAAGTCATTGAATGCCACGGCCGCATAGTTCTCGGCGATTTCCCTGATCCACCACTGATCGCTCATGTTGAAGATCTCACTAGATTCGTGGCCGAAATTCCCAGCGAGCATGCTGTTGTTTGGACAGGCTACGCATTCCCAGCCGTGGAGGAGGTTTGATTTGGCAATGCTATCAGCAGTGCCGCTCACGATCAGAACTAGAGCAATGAACCAAGCCGGAGCAAAACACGTCTTTTCACTAGCCATCATCACTAGGAGTAGGAATGATACGAGCTCGGAACGCCCTTACTTGGCCTTAGCCTGTATTTTACTAGTAAGTAGTACTAGGTTAGTAGGTAACTGGTTACCGGCAGATTACAAACCTCCAGCACTCAACAGCAACCACGGTCTGGACTATGCCTAGTATGGTACGTGGTGGTAACTAATTATTTCTTTGGTTCATTCCCGATCTCTGGAGCAAGGCGCTGACTGAGCTTGAGCGTTGACATGATGAGGTAGCTTTTATTTGTACTGTAAGTAACGAGTTACGTAGACAATGGTCGAGCTGCCGACGAGAGTGCTTTTTTCGGACATTCGTCGCTTCGCCTTTTTGAAAATCAACGTGGCCATGGTAATGGTTGCCAACCTTCTTCGTTCTGGTGCCAAATCGAAGTGTGAAGGCATTGTCATGTGACTCCCTCGCTGACATGGCCATGTCAGTCGTAGATCTACAGTAGACTACACTCGTCGTGTCCGTTGTTACAATGAGACATCTGACACAGACCTACTGTAAAACCGGACAATTACATTGGCAACAAAAACTCTTTTCTTTCCAACTTTCAGATAAATAAATGAAAATAAAATAACCTTCGGAAATCTGGCATGGAATAAAAATATGTTCAGGGAATGTGGCAATATGAAACATGTGCAAAACGTACAATCTGAGATAATTCAGTCATACTTGCACATGTGAAGCCATCAATGAAATCAATTCCAGGTCACGCGACTAGCAGACCTGTTGGCCAGGTCTACATAGACTGATGCATGTTCAAATTCACGTGTCCACACAGTTCCTTGTCGTGTAGCTGCTGCCTTGGGTGGTCCAAGAGGTCTTGTGAACTCCGGATACCATTCACTGGGCATGCCACACTCCACACCAGCCTTGCACGGGATGTAGCCATCCTCGATGCTGTAAAACCAAGCATAGCTGAGAAACACTCTCTCGTTGGCCACAATGAGGAACGGTGCGAGTGACTCCACCAAGCGCTTTGCAGCAGCTTGCCGACAGCCTTCAGTAGTCGTGGGCACGGGCTGAGATCCTTTCCAGGAGGGGACAGTGAAGGAATTTCCTGTTTCTCCCCGATGCACAAACGGCACAGTAGCAGGCCCCGGAAACGCATGGATGACAACGGAATGCCCCGCGTTACTGACGTTGATTATCGTTTCAAAGCTTCGTTCCATCAATGGGACGTTCCACGAGCCGTCAGGGTTCTGCGTGCTGAAACTGCCGAACATTTCATCGAAGCCTCCATTGAAGTGTTGCATGGTCGTGTTCCAAGTAACATCCGATGGTAGATTCGAAGCAGGGTGTGCCTCCATGGCAGCGTTTCCCCAAACCTCTCCGCCATTCAACTCCGTGAAGATCTGCTGCGCCAGTTGCATGGCCTGCATTTTCCCTTCGAACAGCTTCCGATAGCGCTGCGCGGAAATGTTGCGGCTGATGTCCCGATAGCCGGCACCATCCACGAACAGCCCATCACACAGCGCCTTGGCCTCCTCCTTGTCCTTGAATAGTGACAGCGGTGCATTCGCAAACCACTTTTGGGCTTCGGGGACTGTAAGATCAATGTATGGGTGGCCTGGCCTGCCTGCTTCGGGTTTATGGAACCACACAATATTACCATAGTCATCCTTCAGCCACCAATCCTCGTGCTCCTGTAGCTGAGCTACGAAGAATGGTACGTTGGAGACCCACTGGGACGCCTCGTAAAAGAGCAGCTTGATCTTGGGATTTACGGCCTTCATCGCTCGGGCGACCGTTACTAGGCCACTCTCTCCGGATCCGTTGTACCTGTTGCTATCCAAATAGCTATTGAGGGTAACAGCAGCATAGTTCTGCGCAACCTCTTTGATCCACCACTGGTCACTCATGTTGAATATCAAGCTGTTTGTGTGTCCGAAATCACCCGCAAGCATGGTGTTTGTCGAACAGGCAACGCAGTCCCAACCGTGAACGAGATTGGACGAAGGGAAAGCTTTAGCTCCATGCCAGGTGCAAGCCATGGACGTTACAAGGAAGGCAGCACTGATCCAAGACATACCTCCTTGTTTCACCAGACGAACCTCTTCCATCGCTTGTAATTATTCCGGCACTCTTCCTGGTAGAATCATTCGCATGTTTGATGGGCCTTTATCTTCTAATTTTTTATTCTGGCAATTGAATTATGTAGATCTACAAATGCATCTTCATCACTACATCAGCTGGGCTTCACCATGTTCACAGCCAGCTGACAAGATCTACGCGCCGGGCGCTATGCAGTCCACCAGGCATGCATGGTCCACACTGGGCGGAACTGGGGTCAAATCAACACGGGTCGATTGGATTTCTGACTGCATGCATTGCAAACCTCAAACTAATGAAAATACATGACTGATTCAATCATTCTTTTTGCAGTGCTTTCAGATATTCAGTGCATGAGAATTGAGATAAGTCACTGTGGTATTTACTAATACTACGGTACATGCAGTACTAGTGTGCAATACGGTCCTGAATCTGAGGATCGAAGGCTTCATGGTTTATCTCTTTTCCTGCGAACGACTATGTCCTGGTAGATTGATGATCCCAGCCACGATGTGGACGTTTGTTTTTCATTTTCTTGTCACGGTTGTAGCATTGAACAATGTGGTCGTTGCAAACGAGCTGCTGCCGGCGGCAGGCAAACAGCCTCATATCGTCATGATCTTCGTGGACGACTGGGGATGGGCAAATGTTGGCTACCACCGTCAAGTGCCCACACGAGAAGTTCAGACGCCAAACTTCGACTGGCTGTGCAAGCAGGGCATTGAGCTGGACCAGCACTATGCGTTTCGAGTGTGCTCGCCCTCGCGATCCTCACTGATAAGCGGACGACTGCCACTCCATGTCAACATACAGAATATTCAGCCCAACGTCTATAATCCGAATGACACGGTGTCTGGTTTCCAAGGCATACCCCGATTCATGACTGGAATTGGGGCAAAGATGAAAGCGGCTGGCTATGCCACGCATCAAGTGGGAAAGTGGGACGCTGGAATGGCCACTCCGGATCACACGCCGGCTGGACGTGGCTTCGACACGTCTTTCTGCTACTACCACCATGATAATGATTACTACACGGAGCTGGCTGGAAGTTGCAATTACAATCATCACCAAGTCAACCTCACGGACCTCTGGACGACGGACGGACCTGGCGCTGGGTACAATGGAACACTGTACGAGGAAACATTGTTTAGCAAGCAAGTCTTGAAGGTACAACACCACTCAATGAAATCCGGTCGCGTCACTCAAGTACGCGTCGGGCAGGTTGCGCAGCCCTAGACCTGCGAACACTGGGCTGCAAAATTCGGCAAGGCGCAAACTTGAGTGACGCGACTGGACTTCATTGAGCAGGACTGTACATGTGATAATAGACAGAGATCGTATCTCAGCGAATATTTGGTAGACGATAGCAACAAAAGTTGGTGCGGCATTCAATGAACAGGAGTGGCATTCTTCAATGACGCAGTCAAACATTCAGCAAGGACAGCTCGTGGACAAAGTACACACACTTTGCGATAGTCTCTTCCAACCGATTTTGCGGAAAGCCTTTTACGCGTACGTATAGAAACCACAAGCGGAAGCGAAAAAACGGGCACAGGAAGAACTAAAGCACGCCATGGTCAACTCTGAACAATAAATTATTGTTCAGAGTTGACCATGGCCTGCTATAGTTTTTGTTTTATTATTAATAAAACAACTTGGCAACTCATACTAGTGCTCGCCTCGATGTGATATAGGCTAGACATCAAGGTTATCAAATATTGATCCAGGGTGGTTGCATGGAAAATCAAGAGTCTGTACGACCATCTCAACGTTGAACTGGACTTCAAGATGCAGCGTCAGGAGGTAATCTTTTGGAAGGCACCGACGCATTATCTGTATTTTCAATTGCCATGGGAAGTTGCCAATGCCCTGTTTTAGAAATTGAATAAGCCCATTGCACAATGACGTAATGTGTACCATCAACACCCCACACAGCCACCTGGGCATGGTCATCTGGGGTGTTGAACAATGCATTGCAGATACCAGCGTTCTCACAAGCATTACTCATATCTTCCATATTTGGCAATGCGCAATGGGCTTGTAGCGTGAGTTAGCTAGCACCTGACACTGTGTTGCTGCAGATAAACGAAACCGGGTGTACAGTGGAACTCTGAAAATATGAATTATTTTTCCAGGCATACTTCCTTTCTGGGCAATGCGCCCATACCCCAGACAATGTCGGTCCCAAAGCAAGCATACGTCTTATCAGGAAACATGCTTTGTGGGTTCCGCTGTACTTCAAGTACCCAGGGCGGCAACTTATCCATGAAATCTTGTTTCTGTGCTTTAGGTCATTTCAAGCCATCCGAAAGAAACACCATTGTTCCTGTACTATGCACCCCACATCGTGCACAAGCCCTACGAAGTTCCCCAGGAGTATCTGGATCGCTTCGACTTCATCGACACCCCCAATCGCCGTGTTTACCACGCGATGGTGACCTACTTGGACGACGTCGTTGGAAACCTGACTGAAGCCCTGAACAGCACTGGGCTCTGGGAAAACACGCTGATTGTCGTGAGCAGCGATAACGGCGGCCCAGTCCATGCCTTGTCTGGTGCTAACAACTATCCCCTTAAGGGCGGAAAGGCAACAAACTGGCAAGGCGGCGTACGCGTCAATGCATTCGTATCCGGAGGATTCGTGCCGGAAGACATGAGAGGGAAGAAAGTTGATGGTTACATCGCTTTGGCAGACTGGTATGCCACGTTCTGTTCTCTGGCTGGTGTGGATAAGACCGATGAGCGTGCAAAGGCAGCCCGGCTACCTCCAGTGGATGGGCTGGACATGTGGCCGATGATCTCCGGTGAGAACATGACATCGCCGCGCACAGAGATCCCTTTGAGCTCGGGACTGATCAGTGGTGACTACAAGATACTGGTGGGTAAAAACGCTCTAGCAGGCTGGACAGGGCCACAGTACCCAAACAATACGAATCCAACGGGTGGCATCAACGCTACCGAACAGTGCGGCACTACTGGCTGTCTGTATAACATTAAGGCTGATCCTTATGAGCACGTCAATCTCGCCAACAAATCACCCAGCATTCTGAAACACATGCAAGAGCGGCTGGCAGCGTGGAAGGCGACTTTGTTCGATCCGGACCGCGGCAAGGAATGGCACGGTGCATGTGAAGTCGCAGTGGAGAAATACGGTGGATTCTGGGGACCTTTTCTCCCTTGAATGTATGAAAATTATTAAGCAATGTAGGTGTAAACCTCATCACTCAATCATTTCAATTCCTTTAGGTCACTGCGCCCAAGCTCTACTGCAGCCACATCATCACATGGAAAACCCTAAACAATGAAAAATGTGTGCAGTCTGTCTGTCTGATGCAAACCTGTACGATTTCAATTCTATAATTGCCAGCCAGGGTCATCATCAGGACTGTAGGGAAACAGGTGAGGTGGACCTAGGCTATATCATACAGCACAAGGTGGACCTAGGCTATATCATACAGCAAAGGGTGGACCTAGGCTATATCATACAGCACAAGGTGGACCTAGGCTATATCAGGCACAAGCTGGACCTATAATTATCATACAGCACAAGGTGGACCTAGGCTATATCATACAGCACAAGGTGGAACGAACTAGGCTATAAGCATTATCATGCACCATCATGGAATGATAATGTAGGTCTCATACTTATGCACTCCCTTTCACTCACACACACACCCGTACACACACACCCGTACACACACACACACACACACACCCGTACACACACACACACACACACACACACACACACACACACACACACATTCACACACACAAAATGGTGATACTGTATTGCAGACACTCACACATGCACACACGCACATACGTACACATACACACACATGCACACACGCACACACGCATTCACACACACTCTCAGAAAAAAATGCCCATAACAAGGCCTTATTATGAAATGCAAGTGGGTAATAAGAACCATCATAGCATTGTGCGATTCATGAAGGGAACTAACCTGAAGTATTATAATGGTGCTGAATACTACTATGCTATAGGCATTGCTTTTAAATAAAGCAATAAATAAATTGTATTGCAATTCAGTGAAGGCAAGCGCAATAAATAGGTGTACGAGCTTCGTGCCACGGCCACAAATTTGTACTTGGACCGGTACGTCCGATGGTTTTACTAGTCTCGTTCTCATTTTTGTAAATACAACTCGATAAAATCCTAAGTAAAACGTACTTTGGGCATGCATACGTACTGGATACATGTGCTACGTATAAATACCGATTAAGGGAAAGGCAAAGGAAATAACTTATGACCAAGTGATCCGACTAGCTGATCTATCAGCCAGGTCTACATAGACTGATGCGTGCTCAAATTCACGTGTCCACACAGTTCCTTGTCGTGTAGCTGCTGCCTTGGGTGATCCAAGAGGTCTTGTGAACTCCGGGTACCATTCACTGGGCATGCCACACTCCACACCAGCCTTGCACGGGATGTAGCCATCCTCGATGCTGTAAAACCAGGCATAACCAAGAAACACTCTCTCATTAGCCACAATCAGAAATGGAGCCAGGGACTCAACAAGCCTTTTCGCCGCTGCTTCACGACACCCCTCTGCAGTTGTTGGCACTTGAACTTGTCCATTCCACGAAGGAACAATGAAATCATTTCCTGGAGTACCTCTTGAAGCGAAAGGAACTGTGGCCGGCCCAGGGTATGCATGTATAACTATCGTATGCCCTGCGCTGCTAGCATTGATCACAGTCTCGAAGGTACGCTCCATCAACGCTGTGTTCCACGAGCCATTTTTGTACTCAGTGCTGAAACTGCCAAACATCTCGTCGAAAGCACCATTGAAATTGCTCAGTGTTGTGTTCCACGTGATATCAGGAGGGAGGCTTTCAGGTGATTGATGTGCCTCCATAGCCGCATTTCCCCACACTTCACCTCCATTGAGCTCTGTAAAGAGATTCTGAGCCAATTTCAGTGCTTTCATCTTTCCTGCAAATAGCTCCCGGTATCGAGTATCAGAGATGTTATGGCTTACGTCCCTGAAGTTGGCGCTATCCACAAATATTCCGTCGCAGAGCTCTTTAGCTTCAGTCTTGTTATGAAAGTAGGACAGCGGAATGTTCGCGAACCAGGTTTGTGCTGCCGGAACGGTCAAATCCACCATCGGAATGCCTTGCTTCCCCTTGGAGGGTTGTCTCGCCCAAACGATATTACCATAATCATCTTTCATCCACCAGTCCGGTTTGGCCAGCAGCTGGTGTGAGAGGAATGGGCTTTCCGCACCGACAGTATGAGCGGATTGGTACATTAGAAGTTTAATTCCAGGGTTTGCTTTCTTGAGTGCCCTGGCCACAGTCACTTTTCCATTCTCTCCCGTGCCATTGTAATCCTGCGAGCGGAGAAAATCGTTCATCGCAACTGCTGCGTAGCTCGTTGCGACCGTATCAATCCACCACGTGTCGCTCATGTTGAATATGTTGTAGTGCATGTGACCGAAGTTTCCGGCGAGCATGCTGTTCGTCTTGCACGAAATGCAGTCCCAGTTGTGAGTCAGCTGCGACAGAGAAACACTCATCGATTGCGTCAAGGCACTAGTGCCAGATTGAATGCAGGCACAAAGAGCCAAGAGGGAGACCAGTAGTTCCATCGCCATTTTCACGGTAGAAGAAGTGGACCACGAAACCAAAATCTTTGATTTTGAATCACAAACATCACTAATATACAACGTAGAATTGTAGTTTAGTTTGTGTCAGGGCCTAGGGATAGAGGTACGGTAAGTTTTTACTCATGCACTTCCAGGCTCGGCCACGGCCACAGACACACTGAGCTAGTCAGCATGGTCAGTGACCAGGTGACACTGACATGGTGTCTGCCAAGTATCATTGTGTTGCGACCAAGTAAAGTACTAGTAAAATTGTGTTATATCGCACCATTCTCGGGGACTCCGTCGCTGTAGCCGTGTGTAAGCTTCTGCATTTCGTGAATCCCTCAAATAATAAGAGTCTCCAAACCAAGTCACTGGCCAGACCTAACTTGCTGTATTAGCAAAGAAGTTGTTTTTTTTTAATTTAAAAGAAGCTCTTCATGAGGTTCAACCGTTGAGGCCCAGGAGTTCACAACGGGAAAGCCTAGAGAATAAATACTGACAGTCACTGCAACAACAGAGCTGTTTCATTCTAAAGGATACGTCACGCAGCTTCCTTGAACTAGGATCCTTTACCGATATCATTGAGGGCTTCAACGCTATCGTTCAGGCAAGACATCTCACTTATGACCAGGAAATCAATTAAGAAAAACCATGATGTCTTTGGAAGCTATGTGTATCGGCTGAAAGCGTTGACAGCTCAGGAACACAGCGAGAGTTCAATAAAGACGAAATTTGTCTTTGTCAACATTCCTAATAAACAGGAATGCTGAAAACTAGGGTGAGCTATATATTAAGAAAGGATGAGAGAGCTCGTCAAAGAAGGAAGGAAAATGATTTACGACCAAGTGATGCGACTAGCAGACCTGTAAGCCAGGTCTACATAGACTGATGCATGTTCAAATTCACGTGTCCACACAGTTCCTTGTCGTGTAGCTGCTGCTTTGGGTGATCCAAGAGGTCTTGTGAACTCCGGATACCATTCACTGGGCATGCCACACTCCACACCAGCCTTGCATGGGATATAGCCATCTTCAATATTGTAGAACCAAGCATAGCTGAGAAATACTCTCTCATTTGCAACAATCAGAAATGGAGCCAGGGACTCGACGAGTTTTTGAGTAGCTGCTTCTCGGCATGCTTCTGGAGTTGTCGGTACTTGCACCGGACCTTTCCACGATGCCACCCTGAAGTCATTACCCGGTGCGCCGCGTGAAACAAACGGTACTGTAGCCGGTCCAGGGAATGCGTGTATTACCACTGTATGACCAGCACTGCTGGCATTGAGCACGCTCTCGAAGCTACGCTCCATCAACGCCGCGTTCCACGAGCCGTCCTGGTTCTCTGTGCTGAAGCTGCCAAACATCTCGTCGAATGCGCCGTTGAAATTGCTCAGGGTCGTGTTCCAGGTGATGTCGGCGGGAAGGTTCGGCTCGGGATGCGCTTCCATCGCCGCGTTGCCCCATACTTCGCCGCCGTTGAGCTCCGTAAAGAGATCCTGAGCCACTTTCATCGCCTTCATCTTTCCTGCAAATATTTCCCTGTAGCGAGCATCGGAGATGTTCGGGCTGAAATCTCGGAAGTCCACGCCGTCCACAAAAATCCCATCGCAGAGCTCTTTGGCATCTTCCTTGCTCTGAAAGTAGGATAGAGGTACGTTAGCAAACCATTCCTGAGCAGCAGGGACCGTCAAATCCACTATGGGATGTCCTGGGATCCCTTGCGAAGGCTTCCTAGCCCAGATGATGTTGCCATAGTCATCCTTCATCCACCAATCCGGCTTTGCCAACAGCTGATTGGAGATAAATGGGTTGAAGTTCACCCAGCTAGCAGCTTGATACCATAGAAGTTTGATGTTGGGATTTGCCTTCTTCAGCGCCCTGGCAACAGTTACCACTCCATTCTCTCCGGTGCCGTTGTAGGTTCTTGAGCCAACAAAATCGTTCAATGCCACTGCGGCGTAGCTTGACGCCACCGTATCAATCCACCATGTGTCACTCATGTTGAAAATCAAGCTATTCACGTGGCCAAAGTTTCCGGCCAGCATGCTGTTTGTCTTGCACGTAATGCAGTCCCAGTTGTGAACCATCTGCGACAGAGAAACGCTCATCGACCTTGCCAATGCGCTTCTGCCAGGTGGAATGCAGGTCCACAGGCACAGGACCAGGAGTGAAAACGCGACTGCCCGCGCCATTCTTCTATTTGACCAGGTGAATCACAACAGCGAGCGGGCTGCAATAAGGTTCTGGATCGGTCTTTTACCGCACACATAGGATCGAGGACCTGAGCATAGAAGCCAAACCTTGAAATTAATTTTTGTCTGCCGTTAGTAGCAGAAAATACGTGGAGGATTGAGTTTCTAACGCAAACCTCAAAACAGCTAGCAGTTCTGCCATGCATTGACCATTGCATTGGTAGACTCCACGAACAATCCATAACCGCGCTGGGGGTTGTATCGCATGATCGTCTTGACATTACGCATCATGCCATGCCCAAACGGGCCAAAGCAGCTACAATAAAGTCTTGTACAACATGTCATGTACTTGCACGTATTTCCCTTGCCTTGGCATTGCCCGCCTTGGCCCTGCTCGGCCTAGCTTGACTCCCCGGCCCCGTCCTGTGCCTCACGTGCGGATATCAGGTCAGTACGAGTACTGATGCATGCAGACCGGTGCAGTGTCAGTCTACACAGCTAGCTGCGGCCGTGGGCCATGGGACGTCGACGGTCGCTGCTTTGTGGTGCGCCGTCACCACTGGTCACTCAGGCGTGAGGCCCGTTTCAGACTTGTACTTGTACTTGTAGTTGTAGGATTGTGTTCCAGATCCACCCGGCCGTGCTCAACTGGACATGTATCACGATGTCTGTTTCTACAGACTGTGTCAGAACCTGAAGAGTTTTACACGTAGACCTATGACTAGTATGAGTATGACTGAGTATGCTATGTACTTCAGCTCCTGTTACTGTTCTCTTATCGCCGATCCGATATGTGGGGCAAGATCAGTGATCTGCGCTGCATCTACAATGACTAACCAACACATTATTAGTGGTGACAGCAACATTTGAAAATAATTCGACGCTTGGAAGAAATTAAATTTGGTCGTTTCATATTACATTCGGAGCTCCTAGCTTCTATACTGCAAAATGTGCATTCAGTACCCATGAGTGCACTCCGAGTGCATTATTACATGTCCCCAGGTCTACCTTGATGAGAGGCAATAGCTCAGCCTGCGAACTCTGACTGTAACCAATGCAGTAGGTGTACAGCTAGCCACAGAGTGCAGGGCGACGCGGAAGAGGTGAAAATGAATGGAATTTCGCCTACGCGGTGTTTCCTGTTCGCCGGTGCGTTTCTGTTGGCCGTTGCGCAATTCATATCGCTAGCAGAAGCGTCTGGATATGTACCTGGGCAGAACAGGGCACATGCGCCGTTGGCTTACTCATCGCCGCTGAATGTCGGGGAAGGTGACACAAACAAATCATCAAATGTAAGAAAAAGGTTTCTGCACATTTGAATAGCATTATCATACATGGCTGACCAGTGGGCAATGAGTGTCATAGACTAGTCTAGTAGTAGTACTTCAACGCTAGCTTTCGCTCTCTAGCTCTGCAGTTCATGGACCTGCCTTTGGTTTGGGTCCAGCAGCGTAAAAGGGCAGAAGACCTCTCCCCCCCCCCCCCCCCCCAGAATTTGACCTAGTTTCAACGGGGTGAGTCTCTATGCACATTGGATATCTAGACATGCTTGATAGTCTTCTTAGTTTTGGTCAACAATGCATGGACCTGTAGCACACAAGTAAACTGACCAGTTTGAAGAAACTAAGCAGTTTGAAGGTCCTTTGGATGTCGACTGGATATTACTTTGTGCTGACAAGGAACAAGGAACTTCCATGTGTGCGAAGCATGCAATACCCGGCAAAATGCAGCACCTTTCTTAGCATCGTAGTGCACCCAATCGAAGCCCACACACCATTCCGTTTGCGTTGGACACCCTTTGACACAAAAATGATGCTACCTCAGGGAAAACTAAGGAACTGTTCAGGTCAAACTGCCCCCCCCCCCCCCCCCGGGACCGTATCCTGGTATCTGGGTTCAATTTGAACCCAATCATGCTTTCAATGCGCAAATCCTCCAGTTCTGCACTGGGGTGAAGATTTGAAGATCAGTGCTAAAAGTATTGTGAAAACAAAAATACAGGACAAATGAAGCAAAATATACACCAGCCATAGGATTTGTTATGTTGCAATGTGTGTGGGAATGAATCCTTGAGATTCAACCTAGAAAAGTGGCCATTCCACTGCTCCTGGAACAGCTGTGCAATCATCTGCCATTTATCAGCCAGTATCTAGGAAATATTACCGGAGGAAGAGGGCCGTACCGGAAGATACCCAGGACCGCCGGAAGCAGTTATCAAGTGGTCCGGTCGTACAATAGTCGTTCGTACTTTGTGTATAATATGACGGGGACCTATGCCCTCCTCAACAGAAAACATGTGTCGGTAGCCGCACCGTTGGTCCGGTGTTAACCTGACCAACCGGACCGGTTCCGGCGGGCCTGATAACTGCACAAGCGGCCTGCAACATTCAAGTTCATTGCCTCTTGAAAGTATACTCGTCAGGATGTCAGAGTAAGTAAAACTTAGTCCTGGTTCCCAGGGATCTCTAGGTGAAGGGTAGTTTAGAATGTAGCCTACCTTTGGCTGCAGAACCAGGCAGAACCAGGCAGAACCAGGCAGAACCAGGCAGAACCAGGCAGAACCAGGCAGAACCAGGCAGAACCAGGCAGAACCAGGCAGAACCAGGCAGAACCAGGTAGGACCAGGCAGGACCAGGCAGAACCAGGCAGAACCAGGCAGAACCAGGCAGAACCAGGCAGAACCAGGCAGAACCAGGCAGAACCAGGCAGAACCAGGTAGCTTATACTACGAACTAGTACTGTTGTAAGCCCGCAGATGACGAATGTTACATGCATTCATTGAAGTAGATGTAAGGACTGCCATGAAGGACCAACAAAAATCATTGTATGGACATTCACTGTGGGAAGTGATATACAATCATTCTCGTAAATAGAAAGGCCAGGAATGTCGACCACCTGCAAATAACAACATTTTTCTAATGCCCCAGCTGGGCTGTAGTTGCTGATGTTCATCTAGTCCAGTTTCACTGCTTTTTGTTTCCTTTTTCCAGTCCTGCAGTTCTGTGCGTCACCTTCCCAAGGACAAGCAATGCGACTTTATCAAGGGCACGTCGTCATGCGAGATAGACGGTGGCTACATTAACTATCTCCACTTGCCCTACTGCCTGCTGGCTGGCTATGAGCCGGTCGGGCTGATCATCATTGCACTCTGGATGTTCTACATCTTCTTCTCGCTCTCGGTGGTGGTTGACTTGATCCTCTGCCCTAGTCTAAAGGTGGGTTGTGACATTCTCTATCTATTTTAAATAGTACGATTGAAAATTATGAAAAAAAATTATACTTGAAGTAGACCATCAGATTTTTCCAAAACATCAAACAATTAAAAGTCAAAAGACGGAAATCGTTTGAGACTTTTGAACATGTTTTCGTGATTTTTCTCAGCCGTCCGTTGCTAACGGTAATCACCTCGTATATAATTAAAGCCACAGTGTACCTGGCATCGTTTTTTCTGACACTACTACTTACTCTTCTCACAATTTTTGTGACATTAGCCACGAACCAAAGGGTGTGCTTGAGCTGTGTACACTTCCATCTTCTCATTGTGGGGGGGGGGGGGGGATTATTTCTCCCAGAAGCAAATGCTGGTTTATATACGAATCATGTAATTACTCAGCATGTTTTGAACGAATAATGATAGGATGATAAGCACACCTTAAAGGTATCACTGATTAGATGTGGCATAGATCAACTCAAAACAAATTCACAGTTTGCGTGAGACTGGGCTTGAGGCTGAGTTTTTTTGGCATCCGTCAGAATGCCGCCACCCTCAAGGATAAAGTCTCGAGGCTTACTCCAAAGGATGTAACAGATATTCCATCAGTCGAATCTATTCGATCTAGCAGAGCTTCAAAGGTGTTGGAATAGGAAGTTGGGAAATGACACAAGACTTGGCGCATGAGTAACATTGTCTTATGTCCCGTCCCTAGATGCTCTAACCTATTGGTGTGCTCCCTTCTGCGGATATGAAAACGTTATATAAATTGCACCTTGCGCTTCCCATCCTTATAACAAAAACAGGATGTGTATTGTTTCACTGTGTAATCTTCTCTAGTAGGTATTGCATCTGTGTCCACTTGGTGTTGCATTCGCCAGGTAATTACCACGGCCCTCCACATGGACGAAAACGTGGCAGGAGTGACCTTTCTGGCGTTCGCTAACGGCGCAGCAGACATTTTCAGCTTGCTCCTGCTTGTGCTGCGCGGCGATGATGACGACGAGGATGACATAACCGGAGTAGCTGGAATGGGATCAATCCTCGGAGGTGCGTTCTATCTTCTTCAGTATGCCTCGTACAGTAAAATTCCCCTAATCCGGATGCCCCTAATCCGGGCATGTCCTTCTACCGAGCACATGCATATTTAGGGTTATTCCTTCCCTTAAAGAGTGACACATGTGCCAGTCATGAAGGCATTAGTCCCTCCTGTCCCTAGATCTATTGTAAAGGGCTTGCCGGTTGCACTCTTTTTCCCAAAAAGTGTGATATAGAAATAGTCACGGTTGGTCCCATTGAGTATAACCTGGCTGTTTCCAGTTTCTTGAGTCGTTCATGTATGCTCATGATCTGATCATGATCTGATCATGATCTGATCATGGTGCGATTCAAGTTCCAAGGTAACACACAGTTTTTGGTGTAGCATTGCAAGTATGGGAGGACCATGAACTAGCATTTGTTTCATTGCTCCAAAAGCTGTCTTCTATGGACAGGCGATATCCCACTTCATAACTTTGTGATGACTGGGCAATGCCTATTTTCATTTTCTCCGCAGGCGGCATGTTTGATATCTGCATTCCGGCCGGACTGATCGCACTCAACTACCCGTTTGATAGCATCGAGAAGTGGCCGTTCATTCGGAATGTCGTATTCTACTTGGCGGCCGTCGGCTGGCTGACCGGCATGCTGGCAGATGAAGTGATCCATCTCAGCGAGGCCATCGGCTTCATTGGCCTGTACTTCGGCTACGTTTTTGTTGTGTGGATCGGACACCGCTACACACGGTGGAAGGAAGATAAGACGGCAGAGCCGGACACCGGCGAGCCCACGGAAAAGACACCGTTGACGACGGGCTCTACGCGGCAGACCTATCAGAGTAATGCTGGTAACGGTGGCGCAGCTACAGCGCCACACAGCGAACAGCACAGTGTGGCACTGCCAGGTGTAGCACCGGTATCCGGCGTGGGCAGAGGGCTGCAGGGTCGCACCCGCGATGCCTTGATGGTACCGTCCGCCGAGAGTATCGATTTATCCCTGTCCATGGCGTCAACATCTGAGTCAACTGCACATGCGAGTAATTCTGGTATTGATTCACTGGAAAACTCAACATTGGAGAGCTTCCCTGATGTAGAACAACCACCACCAGAACCCGCCTTAGATGAAACCGACTCTGAACCTTCACACCTAGTTGGACTGCGAAAGCTGAGAGACGCATTCGTCCCTGAAGAGTTTAGGAACTGGAAGGAAACCAAGTAAGTCCCTGATTCGCTCTTCGATATTTCCTTTGGTGTGCCCTCTGGGGGTGATGAATCAGTGTGGGTGAGTTGGAGAAATGAAGTCTTACCAGGAAGGTAATGTATTGGGAAACTCTCGCAAGACATCGGTACATTGGCTGTGTGTTGAAGTACTTAGCTATCTGTTTCGGGGTAAACAAGTTAGTTGTTTACGATAGGATTATATTCTCACTTGGCCATTGTAGGCAAATCATAAGGACGCGACATCTAAAGGATCCTGCATGAAAGTAGGCAGCTGCGAGATGTGTATCTCGCGCATGCTCTTGCATGGCTACGTAATGCATTACATCATAATACAACATCCCCTTCGTCATAAAGGAGTTTAACAACCTACATAACATACCGTACGCATATGACGGCGTGTTCACAATATAGAACATAACATCCAACAATAGCTCTATGTACAAGGTAACAATCATGAATGGCACACGACGGCGTGCTAACAATACAGAGACATAGTATCCAACAATAGCTCTATGTACAATATAACAATGGCACCTCAGCTACTGTGACATAAGCGAACAGGTCCATGAGGCCTCTCTGGCCCTACACATCCAGGATTGACCTGGGTGCGACTGCGCGGCCAGACCGTGTTCGATACAGCTGGGTGGCAGGTTCAGCAGGCTGGCTGACGTCACACGGTGACGGCGGCTGAGACTGGCTAACGTCGCTCCACGGCGACGGCACGTCACTCGGCGGCTGAGGGCCTGCGAGACTGGCATCCGGCGGGAAGTGGACCCGCCTCTCTCTGAGGTGGGTACGGTTGCGCCGCACTTCTGTCCCATGGTCAGGCTGCACCATGTATGACCGTGGTCCGTTGACAGACTGGGTTACGATACCAGGTTCCCACAGGTGCGTGGTCGGGCTGCGGATGCCGACGTGCTGACCAGGAACTAGGGGGCGGAGAGACTGCGCTCGCTGGTCATGGTGTACTTTCTGCTGGTCTTGCCGTTCCTCGAGCTTCTGTCGGATGGCCTCGTCCCGAGTGTCGCGCTGGTGTTTGCGAGGCAGGTTGTCCTGTACCTGACGACCGAACAGCATCTCGGCCGGCGACGGTAAGCCCTGGCACACTGGGGTGGCGCGAATGCACAGCAGTGCTAAGTGCGGGTCGGTCCCGCTCTCCCTTGCCTTCTCGAGAGCTCTCTTAGCGATCTTGACTTGCGATTCGATAAACCCGTTACTCTGCGGGTGATGTGGCGACGACGTACTGTGGCGGAATCCATATTCGGCAGCAAACTCCGCGAACAGATGGCTGCTGTATTGCGGCCCGTTGTCCGACTTCAGCACGGCTGGGATGCCGTGCTCACCGAAAATCTCCTTGAGGTGCTGGATGATGGCCCTGCTGGTCGCTTGTCCGGCAGGCAGCTTCCGGGTGATAAAGTACTTGGAGTAGTAGTCGGCGGCAATGAGGTATTCTGACCCGCCGAGGTAGAACAGGTCCGTGCCTAAGGTGTGCCATGCCCTTGGCGGAATATCGGGCTGCACCAGTGGTTCCTTGGCTTGACTGCTCTGGTGGCGCTGGCACGTCGTGCAAGATGAGACAGTTGCTTCGATATCCTTGTTGATGTCCTTCCAGAAGACGGACGTTCTGGCTCGCAGCTTGGTCTTCTCTATGCCTTGGTGGCTGGCGTGCAGCTTGCTGAGGATTTCCCCCCTCATTGGCGGGGGAATCAGGACGCGACTGCTCTTCAGGATGAGACCGTCCTCGGTGCTCATCTCGTCGCGGAAATTCCAGTACGGGAGCAGAATTGCCGGCACCGCGCTCCTCTCTGATGGCCAGCCACTGAAGATCATCTCCTTCAGTGCTGACATCTCGGCGTCTTTAGCCGACTCCTCGCGGATCCTCGTCATCGCTGCATCGCTGAATTGCGGGAACACGGCGTGTACACTGACGTCGAGGTCCTCAATTGGCTCTGTTTCCTCTGGCGACAGTCGGGATAGCGCGTCTGCGATCGGAATGTCCTTTCCGGGGCGGTACTTGATGGTCATGTCGTACGGCTGCAGCTTCAGCAGCATGCGCTGTAGACGCGGCGGGGCTGCGCGGAGGTGCTTGAGCTTGATTGACTCCAGCGGCTTGTGGTCGGATTCTACTGTGAATGACTGACCGAATAGGTAGGTGTGGAATCTTTCACACCCGTATACGACAGCTAAGAGCTCACGCTCAACATTGGCGTAGCGAGACTCCGTCTCGGTAAGCTTCTTGCTGGCGAATGCAACAGGCTTGTCGTCCTGCAGCAGAGTGGCACCGAGACCTTTCATGGAAGCGTCGACTTGTAGTGTCGTTGCCTTGCCTGGGTCAAAGTAACTGAGCGTTACTTCTGTCGAAATGGCGGCCTTGACCTTGTCGAAGGTGCGCTGGTGGCTGTCTGTCCAGGCGAACGGTGTATCTGGCTTGGTCAGCTCACGCAGGTGCGCGGTCAGTGTACTGGCATTCGGTATGAACGGGCTCATGTACGTGACTAGCCCGAGGAACGTCTGGAGCTCGTCCTCGTTCTCGGGGTGCTCCATCTGCTTCAGCGCTGAGACCTTCTTCGGGTCGGGCTGTATTCCGTCAGCGCTGCAGATGATGCCAAAGAACTTGATCTTGTCCTCTTTGATGCGGCATTTGTCTGGGTTCAACTTCAGGCCAGATTGTTCGCAGCGAACCATCATCTGGTGCATGTTGAGATCATGGTCCTCGTCTGACGTCCCGTATGTGACGATGTCGTCTGCGATGCCGGTGACGCCTGAGCACCCTTCGAACGTCTGGTCGATCCTTGCTTGGAAGACATCTTGCGACATCTTGAGGCCGAATGGCATGCGAAGGAATCTGTAGCGCCCGAATGGTGTGTTGAAGGTGGTGAGGTAACTGGATTCGTCGTCGAGCTCCACATTCCAGTACCCACATTTGACGTCGACGATCGAGAACACTTTGGCACCTCTCAACTTCGGGGTGATCTCCTCAATGGTGGAGACCACGTGGTGCTCTCGCAGGATGGCGTGATTGAGGTCCTTGGGGTCTAGGCACAGGCGTAGCTTGCCATTGTCTTTGAGGCGGAACACGAGGCTGTTCACCCACGCTGTTGGTTCGCCTTCCTGGATCTTGGTGATGATGCCGTTCTGGATCATGTCCTCCAGCTCCGTCTTGATCTCGTCTCTCAGTGCGATGGCGTGGAGGTGGCGTGGAGGGTGTACAACCGGGACGACGTTGGGGTTCACCGTGATGTGGTACTTGCCTGGGAATTTCCCAATGCCATCGAAGCACTTCGGGTATTGCTTCATCTGGTCGTCCTTGTCTCGGATGCTCGCTGGCTTCTCCTGGACAGCGCAGTTCAGCGTGACTAACTGCAGGGCTGTCGCTGTCGGGAGGCCGATGATAGCAGTGCCAGGGCAGTCCGTGATGTAGAAGTCAGCGAGTTGACTCTTGCCATCGTAAGAGCACGGAATAGGACGGGTTCCGCATTGCTTTATCTTGGATCCGCCGTACGCTGTGAGGGTGGTACTTGACGGCTTCACGGACGTCGGCTTTGGGTATCCGTTTGGTCCGACGTGCTGGGGAAACATTTGGCAGAACACTCTCAGTGGCAATATATTGCCCTGGGCGCCCGTATCCACCTTGGCTCTCAAGGTGGCCGGTCTGTTGGTGTTGTCCAGGCTGACATTGAGGGTCGCGAACACCTCTCGCTCTAGTGGCGGTTGGTGACGCTCGACGCTGTCGATGATGACGGCGTCGAAATGCAGTGCGTCGAAGCGTCTCCGTGGGCTGGGGCTCCTCTGGGGGTAGCGCTCCCGCGGGCTGGGGCTCCTCTGGCGCCAGCGTCCGCGTTGCTGGCCCCTTCCATGTGCCTCGTCTCTCCCCTGCGAACGGCATACGTTTGCCCAGTGATTCGCCTTCCCGCATTTGTTGCAGGTGGAGCCGTGCGCTGGGCACTTGCTTGGGTGGTGGGTTCGTCCACATTTGCCGCAGTCTGCGTGTCCCACAGATTTGGAAATGGCGTGAACCGTTTCAGGTAGACGGCTGCTGCTGGTGGCGGTGGACAGCTGCTCCATGTGGCGCTGTGTTGCTTCATAAGTACGGGCCTTGTCAAGCGCTTCGTCCAGAGTCAAATCACTACCACCCTCCAGCAGGCGTTCTTGCACTTTCGAGTGCTTCGTCCCCACGATTAGCTGTTCTATCAGGCGATCGTTAGTCTCCTGAGCGTCCCTGAACTTGCACTTGGACGTCTTCTTCTTACACCTCGCAAAGAAATCATCTACAGACTCGTCGGGTTGCTGGCGGTATTTCTGAAGCTCAAACCGAGCCAGTCGTGCATTTACCCGTGGCTGCAAATACTTATTAAATTTCTTGAAGACGGCAGCTACTTTGGATTTGTCGCTTGCATTATCCCACTCGAAACTATTGAAAGCATCAACACCAGTTCTCCCGATCCATAGCATGACATAGGCGACCTTTTCCTTGTCGGACTTGTCGGAAAAGGGCCCTTGGAAAACTAGAAGGCAGTATTGTTGGAACCGCTCGAATTCGTCAGGTAAATCTGCGGCTTGCCAATCCATCGACGGCGGGGTAAATCCGGCTGCTTCTGCCATTTTACCTCTTGCACCGGTGGCGCTACTGCGACAATTCTAGGGCGTTTATTTAGTTTACTTCTGACACCATGTTTCGGGGTAAACAAGTTAGTTGTTTACGATAGGATTATATTCTCACTTGGCCATTGTAGGCAAATCATAAGGACGCGACATCTAAAGGATCCTGCATGAAAGTAGGCAGCTGCGAGATGTGTATCTCGCGCATGCTCTTGCATGGCTACGTAATGCATTACATCATAATACAACACTATCCATGATTCAAACCTGCCTAGGAAGGCGACTATGTATACCGCATTATCTCTATTACAAGCGCAGTCTCTTGTAGAAGCCCGGTCTCTATTATAAGCGCACTCCAAGAGGGCTTCGAAGATATACAAGCGCAGTCTCCAATATAAGTGCAGGGCGTTTAATGGAGAATCGTATGGATAATGTTCATGCATGTTTGACGTCACACAGTATCACATAAACACATGCTGTGGTAAAACTCTATGATCTCTGAGATCTGAAGTACAGACTCGGTGTACCAGGAAGCACACAACTGCTGTCTCGGTACCTGCCGGGAAACGTTCTGCTACTGATGTAATGAAGAATAATAGGCAATGTTCATGTACCAGGTGGTTGGAAAATTATAAGCCCAGTCTCTAGTAGAAGCCCAGTCCCCAATATAAGCCCAGGGTCTGGACTGGTTTAAAAAATATAAGCGCTGGGCTTATAATGGAGATAATACGGTACAAAACCTTTGTTTCCTTGGGAGTCACGCTGCTGTAGACCTTTTAGCAAACTAGCTTTTCTAGAGTGTCGGTGAGGTTTTTGGACACACCAGCAATAGACTTTGAGAGCAGTGTGGTGTTCTCACTCCACGTGCACCTTCATACATAGAGACATAGACAGCAATGCAACAGCATACAAATCGAAGGGTAGTTGGTCGCAGCCAGATGTGGTGAGACTCACAACTGACCGAGGAAGCCGGGAAAAGAGACAGTGATAAAGAACACACACCATGTATCTTCAGACTTTTCCCGTTTGTGTCTTTCCCTCAAACCAGTGAAAGAACACACTATGTGCCATATTTGCAGCCGGAAAATGTTGCGAGAGAAATCATTTCTGTGCGAACGAGAACAGTATCTGAGCGAAACAACTGGCTAGACTTGTTCTGAAAATAATACGATGGACTAGGTGACCTGATCTGAAAGTATTCCTTGAGTGAACAAGCCTCGTAGCTGTCTTTATTGACATAGGGACGTATCTTCTTGTATCGTACAGGTGGCATAACAGACTGTTTGCTGTGCTGGGCTATCCGATTCGACTCGCTCTGCTGTTAACGTGCCCGACTATCGACAACGAGAAGGAGAGCTGTGACTGGAACAAGTATCAGGCTATGATAACGATGGCCGTGTTCCCCTCGTTTGTAGCGCTGGCCTTCGATGGTGAGAATATCTCCTCTTGTAACATGATAAATGATGCAGTACTGTTGGTCGCCGAAGAACGGGGGGGGGGGGGGGGGGGGGCAGCTTCCTAACCTAAATCATTCCTATTTTCATGTATTGCAGTCTATAATTTTTATTTTTATTATTATGCAGTTGAGTCACCGTGTATACATTGGTATGCTGATGAAATTCTAGCCTGGTCGTTCTTCGGCGCTCCGTTCTTCGGTTCCCGACAGTACTGTACCCATTGTCCTCAATGACAACATGCATGCACAACTACTTGCTTAGCCCTGAACTTCATACATGTTAAAGTCTGAGCTTGTGCTATATTTAAACAGCCCTTTTATGCTCACCACCTTTGGCCGAGTCTCACGCGAACCGTGAATTAACAAAAATTCTTTATGCTCACCTAACCGATTTTCAGATACAGTGAAACCAGTCTAAGGCGACCCCTCAAGGGACGAGAAAAAGTGGTCGCCGTGGCCAGGTGGTCTTCTTATCCAGGTTCAGTGGGTCACGTGACCGCATCCACGAGTGATACATCATTTTGATCAGTGTACCCCAGTGCACGCACCTACATGTATGCTACTCTAGCACGACTCATGACATGTGCCTGGGCATGGGGTCCTCAGACCTGTGAAGTGTCGTGCATGCATGCACCATGCACATCTACACTCCCTCCACTCATGTGTAGATCTACTACGCATGGTGCACCATGCAATGCATACATTTACATTGTACGAGCACTGTGCAACGCGGGTCGCGGGCGGGTGGTCGTCGGTCGCGTTGAGCGAGTTGTCGCCTGATACGAGCTGTTTTGAATGTGAATGCGTCCGTGACAAGGAAAAGTGGTCGCCATGGTCGAGTGGTCGCCATATCCGAGTGGTCGCCATTACAGGTGTCACTGTAGACTGTGAGATACAGTCAGACCTCGCTTATCCAGTCCTCGTTTATCCGGATCCCTCGCCATCCGGAAGAAAAAAGCTGGTTACATATTTGCAGCATACGTGATGCATCCAACATAAACGGTGTTCGGTTATCCGGTTCCCTCGCCTATCCGGATATTTTTTTGGAAAACGGATGTGTGCGGTTAAGCGAGGTCTGCCTGCAGTACTAATCCATGCATCTACTACATGTCACCATTTTGTTTCTGGTGTTGCATAGGATTCTTCACTGAGATAAGCAATGAGGTGATCCTGGGTCCTTTCATGGCAGCCTTGGGTCTCATCTTCTGTTTGGCGGTCTTCCTCTTCACGTCCGTCAAGGATGTGCCCTATGCAAAAGTGGTAAGGCGTGTTAGCTTGTAGAAGATTGGCTTGAACAGCCATGCGTGCGCAAAAGGTAGCTGCATGTTTTTGGCAAATATCCGGTTCTGGTCAGCTTACTTTAGTGGCATGTATTAAATCAGGAGGGTGGGACACGCTACAGTGACTATGGTATTGACCGCACCAGTCTTTGTCCCAAGTACCCCACAAGTCAATAGAAGGCACTGATTTGGGCGTCCAATTTTGAAAATGTTCAGCGGAGTCCCCCCCCCCCCCCCCAACACACACACAAGAATAACCTGTACTTCAATCACTGACCGTACCCATCCAAAAATGCCAAGAGATGGAGCAGTTCAGGTTGAGCTCTGTCAAATAGAATTTAGCAAGGCTGCAAAAAAAAGAAAACAAAGTAGCATTCAAAGTACATCTATGTGCGGTTTTCTTTGTCCGTCAAACAGCTTCCGTCACATCTTTGTATTTTGTGCTCCCAGCTCTTTGCCGCCATCTCATTCCTGGTTGCCATCACCTGGATCTATATCATGGCGGATGAAGTGGTGAACATTGTCGTGGTAAGCTACGGTGCTGGCCAGAGAAATCCAACCTCATGAATTCGGTAGCGCCGCGTTCGAGTGCACAGATCAGTATGTGTAGTGCTAGGGCTGCATAAAGCCCCGGCGCTATTTTATTCATGAGGTTGCATTACTTTGGCCAGCACCGTACATGAGGCACTTCACAAGTCCATGCTTGCTGTGCCGGTTTGCACTCATCATAATCCTAAAATCTGTAGCATCACTCATGATCTACAGCAAGAAGGCAGCAATGCTCGTTCCTGAAAATATCCCAAAAATCACGGTTTGCGTTACACTCATCTGGAGGCCGAGTTTTCAACATCCGTAGGAACGCCGCCACCCTCTATGCATCAAGCCGCAGATGCCTGTACCTATGGTGAAGTAAATAAAGATAACAGTCATTATGACCTAATTCAACCCTCTCCTTTCCTAGCGCTTCGGAGGGCCAGAGTGTGTTTGTAACTCAGATGAACCTTGTAATTTATGGCATTTCAGAATGGTGGAATGGGTTCCATCGGTCAGGACATGTCCGCACCAACTTCACGCCCATCACAACATTGTTTACTCCTGAGGTGGTCATGTGTACCCACCATTATAATGCACCATAGAGTCTGGTATGGCCAGACCAATCGAACACTGATTCCGCCGGTCGTGCACTGGCTAGTTCGGTAGGCAATGGCCGGACCAACGTTTTGCCAACCAACATGTGCTGCATGCTGAAGAGGTCAGGTGCATCAGCCACATCAACACCAAGTACGAGAAGCTATGGCATGTTTATAAAACTTCACGTCTGAACTCCAAACTCCAGAACGGTCTTTTTACTGCGATTCGAATAGTAGTAGTAGTAATAGTACGACGTATATTTTTATTTTACTAGGGTATCCAAACAAGCTATTACAATCTTACAGGGAACCCTAGGTGTTGCTTGGCAACTGTGACAAAGATAGAGGGGGGGGGGGGGGAGTCGGCGAGATTGCATATAAGTGAAGTTGTACAAATGTGTAAGTGGCCGCATTGGAGTTTGCGGACAATAAGAAAAGCTATGACATGGCTGGAACTATCCACAGCTGTGTCCGCCGGTCCTGACACCTGATTAGTGGGAATAAAGATAATCATCCGGGGCACCATTGGAGCACCACTGAATTCAGGTAAACGGTGATGGCAATGAAAATATCAATGCTGATGATTGAGAGGAGCAACACTGAACTAGAAGAAACAACATGAAACAGTGATGATGATGGTGACGATGATAGAAACAATGTTCTCTTAAACCCTACTTTATGTTTCACTTGTTCCGCAGACATTTGCGGTCTCACTCAACGCCACAGGGGCCATCCTCGGTTTGATAATGATTGCAACTGGAAACAGTGTATGCGGTGAGTTACCTCCCCGAAAACTGTCTACCCCAGAGTTGTCTTACCGAGAGTTGTCTTCTCTCTGAAGTTGTCTTCTCTAGAGTTGTCAGTTGATTGCATTTTTGCCATGGTGGTGCAGTGTAGCTCAGCCCTCCGGATAGGATACTGTCAAGCATTGCTTTCTTGGCCCTTGGGTAGCACGGGAGGTCAGTACAAGGTATGACTGGCCTATGTTCTAGCACTGTTAGTTGCCTAGCAGTGCTGTGCTGTATTCGCCAACAAGATACGTTTTGGAATGCAAGTTGAAAGCGGGTGGAGAGAAGGTGACAAACATTGTAGGTTGTTCCTCAGTGTTCTTAGGGCAAATCAGTGTACTTTGAGCACCGTTGCTTGATACAACCAAGAACAAGATTTCAGTGTACTCTGGTTCTGGCGTCCCGTTTGTTGGCACAGCATCCGTACCCCCGCTGGCTAGAACCCCGTTCCGGGTCCCGGAGAATTGAAGCAGCCCTCGTGTCTTAGCGTAGTGCACTTCATTCGCGTTCACTGTCTCTGTGTGTGATTGCTGTGTGCGCTTTCCTGCAGATATGATTGCCAATTTCTTTGTCGCTCGCGGAGGTAAACCGCTCATGGGATTCGCAGCATGTATAGGCAGTCCACTCCTGAGTATCCTCATCAATGGCGCAGCTTGTCCATGTAAAGAGCTGGTATTGCATTGGACCTTTGCTTGCTTTTCAGATGTACTGAATCTGTGGATTTCAAGCGTTCTTCTAGTGTCTCATTCATTACCGACTCTATGCCGAACGATAGCAGGCCTGTGTCTTTACCGCACTGACTCGTGTTGCATATACAGTAAAACCTGTCTAAGACGACCACTTAACTTAAGGGACCTTCAAAATGTGGTCTCTATCGCCAGGTGGTCTGCTTATCCAGGGTCATTTCACTGGGAATTAGGGGTGAAACGGTTCCATGTTTTTCATGTTCGGGTACCCTAATGCCAGCATTGTTTCCCACGGTTCCGGTATCGGTTCCATTCACTCCTTTCTCCAGACCGACAAAATGCGTTCGTGACCATTATTTTTTTGAAAAAACATTTTTTACGAGCAAGAACGAGACATCGGAGAGTCCAAGTGCGAAGAAGATAATGACCAGAGAACCCTTTGGAAGAGCGGTGATCGTAAGGTGACATATTTTTAATCTTGAGTAGACTTGACATGTACATGTATTTGTGCGAGAACGAGATTTTTCGAGTTTCGGTTCGAAATTCGACGGAACGGGTACCCGATTCTTTTCAGCTGGCGGTTCCAAAACCGGTTCCTTACCCGAACCGTTTCACCCCTACTGGAAATCGCACCCCTTGGTCCTGGATTCAGTGGTCTTCTGGGACAGGTGGTCGCTTTATCCGAGTGTGCGCCTTGGCAAGTTTTACTGTATTACTGGGCACTTCCTCAGGGCATGGGTGAAATGGGCTGCATGCCCTATGTGGTGTCTCAGTAGGGAATACTAGGGATCCATGCGAATATGCTGTTCTTACACCCAAATCTGCGTAAACCTACTGACAAACCTGTACATGTACTTACATGTCTGTGTGACTAAATTTTGGTGGAAAGTTGTTAGTCAGCCTTGTCTGTAGCCATTTTCATTCCCATAATATCCATCGTATGGATAGCACATCTCCTTTTTTTTTTTTTTTTTTTTTTTTTTTTTTTTTTTTCGTAAATCGAAGTGAACTAGATTATGAAAAGTCGCCGAGGAGATAATAATCTAAGAATTGCAATGAATAGTACAAGATGGTGACTAGATTTCCCTTGACAGATTTGTTAGACATGCTCATCGGGATTGGCATTGCCAGCACAGTGGCCATCGTGAAGGAAGGCAAGCCGTACAAGCTCCAGTTTCCGCTGCTGCTGCAGGTCGCTAGTGGATTCCTCTGCTTCTCGTTGCTCCTGTCGCTGGCGTTGGTCATGGCGAGGCACTGGTCAGCTGGAAAGATGCTCGGTATAGTGATGCTGGCTCTCTACTTTGTGTTCTTCACGGTGTGCTTGGCGCTGGAACTAAGCTAGACACGCGTTGGTGAGAGAGAGTGAGAGAGAAAGTGGATGCCATTGTATGCTCTGCTGCCGAGCGATGGAGTTTTTGCCATTCACCCGGCTTTGATACTAACAGTATTTGTCCCCAGTGCTCTGGCGCTAGTTGAAGATATACACATATCACATTTATACTAGGTATACATCATATATGTTAGATACCCAACTGTTGGACTGTAACATGGGCGGAGGGCGACCACATAATTATGAGGACTTTGGCAAGGAACTGATGCACACAGTTGCTGAATTGTAACTTATTAATTGTACATGATCTTGGCAAAGAGCGGTGCACAAAGCTGCTGAATCATGTTAACGTCACAGGATTTAAAAAAATATAATTGAGACTACGGTAAACAAGTCTGGGCCAAAAATGTCTTTTCCACATACATGTATGTGCATCAAGTACATGTACATGTAGGTATGTAGTATCGTCAATGTTTGTTTACCAAGTCCACAACTAATCCTGACCATAGAAGTGATACACGGCCATCAATTATTCTACTGGCGTTGAGCACTTTAGCAGGTTATGGCGCGCTGCCGCTGGGTGCCATCAAAATACCAAGTCTTGTACAATGTAGTTACCGTGAAATTTTCATTTTTTGTCAATGTTCTATTTTAAGATATTGTACTTATGTTCACTGGAATCGCATTTGGCTGGTGATGTGTACATGTACATGTACATGTATGGGAGTTGCAATTGATTTAATTACCAGTTCAAGTAGGAATTCTGCCATGATAGTACTACTTGGACAAGAGTTTTGAAAGTCAAATTGAAGTGGTATTTACATGTGTTGAGTACGAACAAGGACAACTGACGACATATTCTCCAGACATTACGGACAACGGGAACAAGTTAGTGGGAACGACATTAATTATAGACGACGCGACAAGAGACCAAGACGAACGAAACGACTACATTGAAGAGTGAGAAAGAGATTATGGAAGAGAGCGAGATTATTGAAGAGAGAGAGAGAGAGATCGACTGAGAAACAACGCAATACAAAGTCTGTGCTTTTCTATAGCTCTCAGAATATTATAATAATTATATACATGTACATTGCAAACCTGCCAACCATCCAGATTTGGCCGGGACAGTCCCGATATCGAGGGTGGCAATATGCAAACTAAAATGCATTTGTCGCATGCCTCATAGATCCATTTGTATACGTTTACATGTGGTGTTGAGCACTGTCAGCACTCTGGGTACATCCTTCGGTGTACATGTATATTGTATAATCAGCGGCGTAGCAGCCGCTCCGGCCGGTCCGGCTTTGGCCGGACCACTTTTTCGCCCGACCACGACCACCATAGTAAAACAATGCCAAAAGTGCCCAGAATGCAGGATTTTGCACCCTAATTTCAAAAACATTCCGGGGGCAGATCCCTCCGGATCCCCCCTCCCCCTGGCCGGACCACCGCCAACGGCGGTGCTACGCGCCTGATAATTATAATTACTTCTGAAGTATACAGTCATGTACATTGGGTGTTTGGGAAAAAAGGCATTCTCCGGTTGTGCTGTGACCTCACGCTGTATACAATGCATGCACAGACTACTGAAGTAGTACTGCCGTTCATGTGGTTATTTCAGTATACATATATACATGTACAATCATGTACATTGTGTGTAACATGTATATGTAGAGTAAAACCTGTGACTAACGACCACCCCTTGGGGCCAGAGAAAGCGGTCTTTAGTGGCAGGTGGTCCTTAGGTTTGCACAGCACCACCACAATCATCATGAATGTGAGACCATACATGTACGTGCCTGGCGAAGTGGTCTGTAGTACCAGGCTGGTCGCTAGTCACGGTGGTCTTTAGTTACAGGTTTTACTGTAGATGGATGGTGAGCCAGTACAGTAGTATTCATGTAGTATAACAGGAAGGACCAATGTGCTACGAGCGAACAATCCACGAACAAGATTATGCAGTCAGACAACTACTACAAGGCACAAAACGGACATAACAGCTGGGGGTCCTGAGACATTCAACGACCTGACACCTACATGTACATGTACAACTAAAAAACCTAACGTGTTACTTTTGTACAACTTAGCTCGAACACATCTACGAAGCGCAAACCGACAGCCTTCGGATCCGTCCGTAGGTCACTTGGAAGGCTCAGGTGCGGAAAGGGGCAATGTGGAGAATAATACAACCATGTAATTAATTAAAAATTTCACGGTTCGCGTGAGACTCGGCTGGAAGCCGGGTTTTCCGCATCCGTAGGAACGCCACCACCCTTCAAGGATCAAGGCGCAGATGCAGCTCCTAAAGCGGTGGGAGGTGAGTAGATCAGCTCACCAGCAAGTGGTCAAAGACCGAAAATCCCATTCACTGCATCCATGTTTTCCTCGTGCCAGGCCACGAGTTCCCAATTAACTGTGGGTCGCAGCACGGCTGGAAAAAATCCTTCCGCTTCCATGCAGGACTTGAACCTGGTACCCTCTGTTTCTCAATCATGGTCTTAGACCATCCCACTATGCCTGCCTGCAACCATGTAAATATCAATTAATTTATTACGCTGGCAGTTGTGTAGGAGAAGGCAGTGGAAATGGACACGATGACACCGTACCAGAGACGACGGTATGCGGATGAATAGAGACCAAACATACATGTACATGTACTAGTAACCTGGATAGTGAAGGCGCTCTCTTTAGAATGCCTAATTAATTTATCACACTGTGGGAGTTGAGAATGGGAGTTTGATAGGAGCATCAAGCATGCTGTGCATTCAATGTGTGGCAGATATACATCATGTACATGACTTTCTGCACTTACATGTACATGTACATGTACATAGTGTACAAGTACATAGTAAGTACATGTACATGTACATGTACATGTACTTGCGAAGGTCCTGAGGGTCACTTCAACTTAACTTGAAAGGCCCATACAGGGCGGGGCAAATGACTGACATCTGTTGGTGTTCACATGGCTGAACGCACCTTCATCGTGTACCTTCATTATATGCCGGGATAGTACATGTACATGTACATGTACATGTAGACCCACTTCTTGCGTAGGGATGTCCATTCATTGAATAATTAGCGGAACCTTCTAATTATTATTAAAAGGTTCCGCTGCCCAACATGACAGTGGTCTTATCAGATTCTAGTCTTTGATCGTTGAACAGGCGAAAATAGTAAAAAAAGGAGATTTTTGGTACATACGGTTGTACAATGTGAAGTACAGTGATAACTGCACAATCAAGTGCGTTGACCTCAGGACACGAGTCGGCGCACACTGTCGTCGATGCGGCTCTCCGGTCAGTCTGGGCAGGCCTCGAGACCTCCAGGGTGATAGACCAAGGAAGAGTCCAGGTGGAAAAGAAAATAAGGAAAGATCAGAACATTGAAAGGATTGGTCACGCAATACGGTTACATAATTCCCATCGTGGATAGGATAATTATTCAATTGACATCCCTAGTAGGCTAAGTAAGAAGTACATGTACATGTACATGTAGGTCGTTAATACGTTATCAAAAAATTTAATATTAAAAAATAACATTTACCAAGCAGTAGCAGTAGTATAGTAGTAGTAGAATTTATTATTTTACTAGGGAACTCCCAACTGGCGTTGCCTTTTTACTGGGAACCCTAGGAATGACTTGGTGCTTGTGACAAATGCAGAAAGGGGGCTTAGCTTGACGACATCCAGGTGGAAGCATGTTCCATCTGTCTGCTGCCAAAAATGAAATAGCATTCAGACCGTAACGAGACGTACATGTACATGTACAATGTAGCTCTGGGTAGGTTCAGAGCGTCTGAAGCTTGACCGCGGGTAGCAGCATTTATTTTGTGCGGCATGATGCAGAGCGGGGGGGGGGGGGGGGGGGGAGGGGGGTAAATATCGTGCTTAAAAGATGACTGGTGCAACGCGATAGACACCTAAAAACAAACACAAACAGCTTCAAGTTTACACGGCGAGAGAAAGTATACAGGATATATTTGGTGAGAATGAAATCGATAGAAGTATACTGATCATGGCCAAACACCCGCCTTAGGCACCTACATGTACATGTACATGTACATGTACATTGTACATATATTGCTGGTTGACTCAAGTTTGTCTCGGAGTTTAGCAGACAAGCAGTGAACATAAGATGTGCTGGCATTAGGGTCCGGCGGATTCTGCCGGCAGAAAAATTCACAGAATTCGGTACTTTTTCTGGTTTCATGCATGTTTGGTATGTGGATAAAGAAATGGAGCAGAGATCGGGGAATTGCCCGCCATAAGGTTTGTATAGTTTTGCCAATTTCACTGCTTTTCGAGCAGAATCTGCCACCTTTTCGAGCAGAATCCGCCGGTCCCTAGCTGGCATAGTCCAAAGTACTCTGGACAGTTATCAGGTAATGGAGACATCGCGGCGCCCATGGCGGAATGAGGCAACCTGTTACCTTGCACTGTGCCTTTGCGCACACACGCTCAACCTACTGCTCGAAGAATGCCTGCAAAACAAAACTTCAAAAGACGCAGAACACACTATGCGTCTGTGCGTGGTTAGTCTGCTGCTGTACGAGTAAATGCTACCAGTGTTTGGTAGCGATACTTGTTAGACAGGTGGCCGTGGGAGTCGTGAATGGCGCTTCCCGACACTCTGTCCTAGGGCTAGGCTAGGCCCTAAGCGACAGAGTGAATGGCTCAGGTTTAAACATCACTTGCACACTGGTTCGGATGTGCATGCAGCGCTATGTGGATGGGTGTCACTGCGACCACCTACATGTAGTACTAGATCTACCTGCACTGCAGCCTGAGTGCAGCGCAGATGAAGATGCAAGAACCCCCACTGGCCCCAGCCCGTCCTCATGCTCAGGCAAAGACAAAGCTTGCGTGTATTTTTAGGACTCGCGATCCCACGCATGAATGTTCGAACGTTCGTTGATGATTTTTTGATAATGACGACATCGTGTCAAACGTCTTGTACATAACATTCATAGTTCCAACTATTAAAGTAAATAATTCTGAGCTGAGCTGGCTCAAGCTCGACTCACATCGTCACTTTCGTGTAGGACATCGATGGCAGTGGCAGGATCAGACTTTGTGTTGGTAGAACTGCAGCTGCAGATGACATTGTACAATCATGATGCATGTCAAATGAAAATGACATACATGCACGGTCATGTACAGACAGTAGTCGATCTCCTGTCAATACCTAAGTCCTTGTCCGTCAGTGATCGCTGATGCCCACGTGAACCCCTACGTAACGCCGTTTCCTATCAATCGACGGTTCACTGTCGCATGCGGATTGTACCCTACCGCGTACCGGAACGATGCAAGTTAAAAGCTCAGAGAGAGAGGGAGAGAGCTCAGAAACCTTCTCCGGCTCCTGGTAGATACTTGACTTGAATTTATTGTCTCGCCAAGTAATTAGTTATCCTGATCTAGCACCGGAGGAAAAGATTTCACTAGCGACACAATTAATAGTATTGCTGTGGAGATCATTATTTTGAGCTTGGGAAGGTGCACATGACGGCCAGGATTGTAGAACACCAACGACATCTGATCGGTTAGGTCCTACTAGGTAAGAGGTTTGAACACAATGAAAGCAGACTGAAACTGAAATAGATTTGGGAAACTTGGAAGTATACCTAAAATCAAATTTTCACCAGTTGTAGTCTTCGGGGTGCTGAGTCGAATGGTCTTGGTCCGAGGAAGCTGAAACGCTCCCTGCCTCCTTCATTCCCAATCGAAGTCGCGCATGTCCACCGAAACTGGGCGATTGCGCCCTACCAGATGGGGATTTGTATTACATGACATGATGAACTAATACTTAGAAGATCCCAACTGATTTCTGACGAGGTATTTGTTTACCGGCGACGCAGTCGAACTCAATTGTGAGATTCTGAGTACATGTGTATCTACATGATTGTACACGTACTAGCATCTACGAGGTGAATTGTTTTGCAGCGTTCAGCTTTTTGCATTGCACAATAGCCAGTATTATTATGACAGAGATACACAGGTGCACAGAGTATGACTTTCGCAGCAAGCACCATGCTAGCTTACTGCTAATTACCAATATTTCCACTGAGATGTGACTAGGATTCAGGGTCTAGCTGTGCACTCACTGAGTGATAGCTCATTGTTTGCTCTCTTCTGTTTCAGTGTTCCACGTTGTGCAGTGCTGTGAAGACCTACCTACGCTGCAGAGATATGTCTAGTAAGTTCTCACTTCAAGCACCGATGTACAAGTATGTTGCAGATGGTGATGATAATACTTATAAAGTTATGGATTGCAGTCAAGACGTTATTATGAGCGTGAACTGTAGTACCACAAGTGATCGTAGTTGACAAAGCAAAGCAAAAAAGGTTCGTTTCAGGTGATAACCGTGCCCATGCAACGTAACATCACCAGCGACAGTGCCTACTAAATGAATCCGGTGGCACGAGACAGTGTACTATAGACCAGTGAGTGCCATGCAACCCTTCCGCATGGCCTTCCGTGGGCGCTGTCCACAGGTCCGGCATAGGAAGCGGTGGTCGGGGAGGGATATCCCCCCCCCCCCACGCACATACATGCACACACACACACACACCTTGGTCCTTGGTCCTTGGTAACACTGCCATCAAATGGTCACGTGTCCCCTGTGTAGGGGTCGACAGCACTGAGTTCAGCATTGGATCCAGAAACGCCGCTCTACTTCCTGGACAGGAAATTAGCACAGCTACATGTACATGTATGCAGGTCGAAACCACGGGATGACTTGCAGCAGCGACCGCAGCCCAGACAATGCGCTCTGCAGCAGGGCAGGGCAACCCGCTGTTTCCGGACCGAGTCTGCCGATGCCACAGCCGAGACCGACGCCATTTCAGCAGCCGAGTTGGAGAGACACTTATGCGAAGCTAGCCCGCCAGCACTCAAGAACCATCTCCCGCAAACACACACACACCTCAGACCTCAGACATGCCCATCGCGGAAGCGATGATAGCGAACAGCTATGATAGACATAGCAACTTGTGCTGGGATTACACCATTCAACAGCTTGCAAGGCTGATGAATTGACCGCCACTATTTTTAGCCTGGTATCCACCACACAGCTGTTTGAAGTGACTTTTTCTGGTCAGTGAATCCCTATTTTTCGTTTTTCCATTTTTTTCCTACACACACACCACACCACATACTCCGACATACACTGGCTGTTGGTAACCACCCAGGATAATGAAAGAAAAGCCAGGAAGAGTCCGAGAAAGAGAAGAAAGACGTGTGCGACCATAATCGTCGGGAATTGAACCCGCAACCTCTCGATTGGAAATCGACTGCACATACCACTGCACCATATGGGACACACACACACACACACACACACACACACACACACACACACACACACACACACAATAATTGATATTATTGGTGCACGTACATGGCAGAGTTGAGAATTAGTGGACTATTTAAAGGTGTGCTTGCCTATGTGAAAGCTTTACTTAATGTATGTGTACTGGTCATTGTGAACTGCCCTCAGCTTCCTATACACTAGCAGTGTCTGCCCCTGTTCCATTTTCTATGCAGACTTTAATGACGGAGGGACACTTCACGGTGACACGCCTGCAGTAGGTGCAAATGGTGCACATGGTAAGTCTATTCCTGTCTGCTAGCTGTGTAGGCCGGTGCATGCTCAGCAGAGAAAATTGAAAGTTTTGTTCCGGTTGTGCTTTGTTTACACTGTGGGCAACCTGATGTCTTGGAAACACGGAGAATGAAATCTTCCGTCTTCTGTATTCGGAAATGAGCGAGCAAACATTCTAAATTTATATTAATTATTGCTGTGCTCTTTCAATTAGAATTGAATGATAACAGTAATAAGTCTGCTTCAGGGACCGTGAAGAAGAATGAGTGGGCAATATTATTTTTTCTTCTTTTATTTTATTTCATCATCCAATGGCAGAAGCCAATGCAAAGAAGGGGGCGGGGCGTTAGCCAGCCATGGCAAGAGAAGGAAAAAAGAAAGAAAAAGGAAAGAACAATAATCGGAAGAAAAGAACGCATCAGCGGGGTGAAATTTATCACTATGTTGACCATGGTGAATAGTGGCGAGATAAGTTAACAAAAGAGGCGAGTGCGCCTACAACTTGGCATGTAATTTAACATGGTCTTCTAACTGTCTAATACTGGATATTGTCTTCATTTCCATGGGCAGCTTGAGCCAATACGAATATGCAGAAAAGATAGGGGATTTGATAAACATAGTTGACAAAGCTCTGGGAAGTACTATGCCATTGTGAGTGTCCCGTGCAAAAGTAAACTAATAATTATACTTGCTGAGATGTTCAGGGACAAAGTTCAGTTTAATACGATAGACCAGAACGCATTACTGTCTCTGCGATCAAAAAATTTAAACACACGTTCATGATGTACTGTACATGTATTCCTAGTGTCTGAACAGCAGATTTACTAAGCAGGGAATGCCAAGCAGTGGCACCATAGAGAAAGATAGGAAGAAGATGGCATTTATAAAAGAGACGAATATATTCGAGTGACAAGCGGGAGAAGTGAGACACCAGACAACCTACAGATTTGCTAGCTTTGTTGCATACAAAATCTACTTGAGAATTCCAGGACAATTGGAAACCCAAATGTATGAAATCATCAGGAATCAGAAGAGGGCACACTTGAGGTCAGAGTTGAAGCTCTCACACATGGTTCAGAAGTCTTAGCCTCACATTCTCAGCAAAGCGAATTGCGGCTGTGTGAAGTTCACTGAACAAAGATCACATCTCTAGTTAACCCGTGGTCTGCAGTACTGTTGGATATGAAAATTCAAATATGTATTGATGAGTTGGCGTGTGTGTTTTGGGCATGTGTGTGTGTGTGTGTGTGTGTGTGTTTGTGTGTGTTTTGCGTACATGCCAACATAATGATGTGTATGGTTGCGTGCATATGTGCTCTGCTCTCTCAGGCTGTCATCTGGGTTTCCTAGTCATTTTTTCCGTTTTCTTGTTTTTCGCTGGCTGGATGTGCATTGGAGCGAGTTTTGCCATTGAGATAACTGGGCTCCTGATAGCAGGTTGCATACTACTCGCTATATCTCTTATGCTGTGTACTATTGGCTGCGTGGCGCGACAGAAACTCAAGGGCAGGTCCAATACAGTTGTGACTACTGCGGCTAGAGCAGAGGCGAATGCATCTGGGACCGCACCAGTGACCCAGGCCATACCATCTGCGAGCGTTCCACTCGACCGGCAATACCCAGCACCACCTCAGGCAGCAGCCGCTAATCCCGCCTATCCTCCAGCGGGCCCTGCAGGCATAGGGTATCCAGTCGCAAGTGCTGCGGGCCCTGCCACCGCGTCCGCACCAGCAGCATACCCTCCAGCTGCCGCTATTCCCAACTATGCCTCCGAGCCTACTGCTTCATCGGGCCCGCCATCAGCTGCCTATCCGCCATACCTAGCCCAGACCCCGGCACACCCAGCCCAGAACCCGGCATACCCAGTGGATCAGTCAGCTGCTGCCGATGTCAGCAAGGACCTACCTAGCTACAATGCACTGATGAGCAATAATTGAAAATAAAATGCTCTGAACAATTGTGGCATACAGTCCAACATCCGCCTTCCCATGGAAACACTTGTCACTATAATGAGGATTCAAGGACTTTGGAGACTTGTGATCACCTTACATTATGCATGCCTTCAGTAATGTAATGTAATGTTTTTCTTGACAGGGAGAATAACAGATACTTGTTCAGTATTCAGTGGTATGGTACTCTCAACATTTATATTTCTATTTTTATGAAAGTGCACATGCCTACATAGAATGGAAGAGAAAAACAACAACAACAACATCAAGAGAACATAGGGGACTACAAAGGGCGTGTAGGTGCTATTGAGCTGTGCCGGTGAGGTGAAGTGAGCTCCCCCGACCAATGGTCTCGGGATCAAGGTAAAATTGGCGCAGATGTTTGGTATGTGACCATAATTCTGAAAGTTTCATAGAGCCATGAGCTAGACACGCGAAATAGAGATAGAGATGGAGAGATTGCAAAAGAGAGATAGATAGAGAGAGAGAGAGAGAGAGAGTGTGTGTGTGTGTGTGTGTGTGTGTGTGTGTGTGTGTGTGTGTGTGTGTGTGTGAGAGAGAGAGAGAGAGAGAGAGAGAGAGAGAGATAGAGCGAGAATCGAGAGAATGTAATGCCAGTGTCGAGCCGCTGATGGAGCACATCCCTTATACCTGGTCTTGATACGGACATTTTGTTCCCAGTGCTCTGGTGCTAGTTGGAGATATACTAGTACACGTACATACATGTACCGGTACATACATGTATATATCTAGCTACCTTACCTGTATATTTATATTCATCATGAATTTTGACCAGCCTCTGCTGCCCACATTTGCTAAATCACGCTCCCATCAAATTATGTACATGTATGTAAAACACATTGAGATTACACATTGCAATTTGGGTTCGAGTCCCGGTGGTGTGACTGATGATTTTTTCTCTCTTTCGTATCTGGCTTGCAATTGTTGAGTTTCGGAGAGAAAAGAGCAGTACGAGGCATGTGGCCTCTAAATTCTTAATATTGAGATTACACGTATAAAGAAATACACGCTCCTTCTGCCAACATCGCCTTTCCATAGATATAATTGTACATGTACATGCATGTACTTGACTTTGTATAAGTTTCCAAGATCTCAAATCTTCGGTCATCCCTGGTTCACAACTTACATGTACATGTACATGTATACTCACCATGGCATACAATGTAGGAGCGATACCTGGCCATCGAGTATTTTTCAGATGTGTCTGTCAACTGTGTTCAAACACTCAAACACATTGTATATGGCACTACTATTGACGGACATAGCCGCAATATCTTTTAATACTAGTACACTTACCGGTATTCAGTGAAACCTGTCTAAGACGACCGCTCGAGGGACCTTCAAAACACGGTCTCTGTTACCAGGTGCTCTCCTTATCCAGGGTCATTTGACCGGAAATAGCATCCCTTTAATAGTCCTGGTTTTACTTCTAGGACAGGTGGTCGCCTTGTCAGGTTTTACAGTACATGTACTGTACATGTCCCGTGAAACATGTCTAAAACGATCGCTCAAAGCATGGGACCTTCTAAACGTGGTGTCTGTTGCCAGGTGGCCACCTTTTTCAGGGCATTTGACTGACAGGTACAATGCTACATGCACATGTACATGTAGCATTCCTTGATCCTCTGTTTCATTGATCTTCCAGGCCAGGTGGTCGGCTTATCCGAGTGGTCACCTTTGCAGAATTTACAGTACAGTCATGTATTATTTAATTTATTATCTCTCCTTTATTCACTTCTTTCGAAGGCGATAAGCCAGACCCACCAGGAAATATGTCCATGGGTGGGACAGCAAAAAGAAAGTGAAAAAATAAAAAAAGCCGAAAACCAAAGGGACAAGAAATAGGGGAAGGCTTATTATTATTATTAGTTAAGGGGGCAGACTACCCAAAAATTCGCTGAAAAATCGAATTTGTAAATTCATATTCAGTGCTATGTCAGTTGAAAGAGCATGAATAGCTGCAAATTCTCTGAAAATTGTGTCCCGATCTGACCGGCCGTTCAAGAGTTATGGCCGAAAATGTGCCCTTGCAAGGAAAGATTTTTTTGTTGCACGCTGTCATTTGTTGGCAGCACTGTATTTGAATGTGAGCAGACCGTGCGCAACTTGTCGTATCATGGAATCACGTGAAAGTGTGCAGAATTTTGCTCCAAGTCCAAAATATCAGGTTTTTGAACCACGTATTGGGCTGCACGGCGGCGGGCGAAGCCCGCCGCCGTGCAGCAGGACTTTTGCCAGCACCCTACCTTTTTGTAGTGACGTTGCAGATATGTGGCTTGATTATTGTAGTTGACATTGATTTAGTGATTTTGGCAAGTTTGAGTCGTGTCAAGAAGTCAGGTAGGATTCAGTACTAGGCAGTAGTGAAACGTGAGTGGTAGTCTTTGCCGGTTTCTGAGGGTATCCTGGATTTGGTGTACAGCGCTGTGGAAATGGCTTGCTGTGGAGGTCCCAGCACTGGATGTTGTATCAAAGGTACGACCTCGTAGCACACCCTAAACCTAAAAAAATTCAAAAATTGACTTGGGTCTGTGGGAGTGTGTGAGAGAACGCCAACTCGTTCCGTTGTGACAGATTCCAGGGCCTCGTTGAGGGGCCCTACCCCATCACCCATGGCTGCTTCTGGACTTGTTCTAGGTTTGAGTCCCGCGCACGAACAGAATGAGCACGAAAATGTGAAAAAACTGTAAATGCATTTGTTTGGCTCCTGGGTGGCTCGCACACCGTGGCACTATGCCGGAAATTTGAGTTTTTCCGGCCTGGAAAGCCTGTCAGTGAGGCGCAAGAACTTGTAAATCATGTCCTGAGGGCCAGCATAGTGGCAGGAGTGTGTGGTCAAAATTTCACTCAAATCCATTGAGAATCACCAAAGTTACGGTCAATTGAATGCCATATGAAATTTATGGGTAGGCTGCCCCCTTAACAACTTAACATCCATGTACAGTACGGCCAACACTCGCAACAGTACTGTCCTGAAGCCCATTCTTTCCCATGCTTGCCACACTTCATTGTTCACATGTCATGAGTATTGACATGAGAGACTCACAGAGTCACAAGAATGCAACTAGGGAAGTCAAATGTAACAATGGACACACCTACAAGAAACACAGTGGTCCTAGGCCTTGTAAGTTGTAACATGCTGTCAACCAACATGTCATGCATGTGTATGTGCATACATGTACCTGTGTACTACCGGTGCTCAGTACAATGTAACTGATGCAGTGATGGGCCACTGACATGATGGCTTCAACAAAATAACGCATATGTACATGTACAGTACAACACACACAAACAAACACCATGCACAGACATAGTCTCACGCCACACCTCAGACCTCAGACATGCCCATTGCGGAAGCGACGATGGCGAACAGCTTACTAGTATGTTAGACATAGCAATTTGTTACTTGTGCTGGGATTACACCATTCAACAGCTTGCAAGGCTGGTGAATGTGTAGCGACCTGGGAGGCTGGGAGTAAGGGTACCCACAAAATTCAAGAAAAAAATCTCAAAATTCAAATTCAAAATTCAAAAAAATAGGCAAATTTCAATGATAGAATTCAAAAAAATCGCAAAATTTAAAAAAAATTCAGCCAATCACTCTGGTTGCGCCGAAACTTCTGGATATCACCATGGCAACACCATGGTAACGCAAAATGGTGGCCGAAGAAAAATGGTTGTGGTCTATCTTCTGTCAATCTGCTTTCCAGTTCCGGTGATTATTATTATTATTATTTTTGATCCAAGGTTTCTCCACACAGGTCGATGGGACGATGGCATCCAACAGCTTACTGGAAACCCAAAACCAACCATGCAAGTGGGTAATGTATGGCAAAATTCAACAAAAGGGACTAGGCCTTGACGGATTATGCTAGCATAATTTTTCGCATAATTCCTACCAAAATCGAATAATCGCATAATTCGAGGCAAATTGCATACGAATCGCATAAAATTGTAATAATCCGCCTGTTCGCATCAAATTCCATACAGTTGTACATGTTCTACAAGTACAAGTACAAGTAGATGCACTAGGAAGTTGTAGGTTTACGACTCCCTTGATAATATGTCCAGTCCACTACAATCAGTGATGGTCGTAGCTAGGTCGGACGATGCGTTGATCGACCCCGTTGAACTTTTGCTACTGCAGTACAACGCCCTCTACAAAAAATCCCTTGTTATTTTGCACAGAACCATTTTGCATTAGCAGCATATGTGAGCATAATGCGGCATAATATGGTAACTTTTAGCATAAAAATAGCATAATTCTGCAATTTTTACAGCAATGCGAAAAGCATAATTTCACGAAAATATTAGCATAATCCGTCAAGGCCTAAAAGGGACTCAAAATTCATAAAAAAAATCAAAAAATCAAAAAATCGCCAAAATTCAGAAAATATTCAGAAATTTTTGTGGAAACCCCTAGCTGGGAGTACTGTAGCGACCTGACTCACTGAGTATTACGTCATTCTACATACGCATGCGCAAGAAATAAAATCATTCTCTTTGGTCACAACTTCTTCGTTGTCCGGTTGGCCAAAGTAGCCGTCGTCTAGGGCCCGACGTAAAGCCCTAAATTGGTGACCACTGATGCTGCGCTCTTCGGAGTTTTGAGCATGCCATCCCTGAGCTCGGCCCGCCGCAGTTTCCTGCTCGCCTCAACTCTCGGGATCCAGTCAATCGCCGGCTGTTGACGTAAAACTTGAGCCTCACCACCACTCGTCACTGGATCCGCCTCGGAGCTGCTGTGGCCCCTGCCACCCTCCCGGCCCACCTGGATACCCCGCTATCCTGCCACGGCACATCGTCCAGTCGTCTTCGTCTTCGTCCTGGCCTCAAGCTGGAAATTGGCCACCTCCACCCGTCGTACCACCTCCCTCAATGTGCACGCACGCAGGCACACGCCCGGCACCGGACCCCATGGAGCTGCGCTCGCCTCCATCTGTCCCCGCCTCACTCGGCATGCCTCGCATCAGTGCAACGCTCCTGCTGGTATCCCGCCAAGCCTGCAACATGCAGCCGCCTCTGACATGATAATACTCCTCTGTCACGCGTACATTTCCTTTCTTGCCGCCTCTAACACGATAACACTCCTCTGTCACGCGTACATTTCCTCTTTTCTTTCTTTCTGCCTCTGACATGCTCTCCACCTCTGTCATGTTAACACACCTCTGACATGTTAAACCGCCTCTGTCATGCATCTCTCTCATTTCCGCTTTCTGCATTTTTGATTTTGTTTCGGCCTTT